AATTTTCGCATTCTTTTTCTGGTCTATTTCTACTTTTTTTTTTTTTTTTTTTTCGCCGCCGTCTTGCCCAACCTCACTTTTCCAAAACCAAGTTTTGGCATAGACATCCTCGTCCTCGTCCTCGGCATCGCTGCCCTCTTCCGCCGTAGCTAGGATGCATGCCTTGGATGGGCTGCCCAAGGGTTATGCACAGCCTCTCCAGGAGCAGCACTGTTTTCGCATTGTCTTGTGTTTTGATGCTCCCCTTTAATTTGCCTTTTTTTTTTTTTTTTTCATTGTTTGTAAACAGCGGCGTAATCGGTGACGAGGTACTCGATGTAACGGTTCTCGGACGCTGCCCAAGTATCGGAGGCGCACGCCATGATTGGTGTTGCCAAGCCTTACCTAGCTTGCATAAACTCGAGAGCGCCCATACTTCTTCCCCGGTGAAAATTTTGAAAAAAAAAAAAAAAAAAAAAAAAAAATGATCCCAATGCAGGTCCGTCGGCGCAAACCAAACCTTTCTCTATATCGTAAAGGCTCAATACAATGTGCAATGCCTCGAAGCTGACTGGTCTTTTGCTGGGGGGCATGGCGCGAGTGCTTCTTGGCGAGCTTGATTTGCGCTTGCGTCTTGTCTTTTTTTTTTGTGTGTCTTTCGACATGCACGGGCACAAGTTTGAATTTGGCAGACGTTTGCACAGGGATTCTGCCCTCCTTGCCGTAAATATTCCAGCATCCCATATTTCTACTCCTGTGCTAATGTCACCCTCCCCACGTCGCAACAAACAGCGTGATTCTACGATCCTGGGCGGTGATTGACCCGAGTCCTGCGCATTTTTATTTTTTTTACCCAACAAACACAAGTTCGATTTCGATGCCCTTGTTTGAGATGTTCGCGTCGCCGCCGCTTTGATATGGCAGGCAACCAAAGTTGTCCGCCATCGGCAAAGTAGCGAGGTGATTTGGCGACAAGACGCTGATTTGAACACCTTTTCTTCAGTGTCAAAACGATGAAGAGAGTCCCACGCGAAAAAAAAATGGATTAAATCTTCAAAGATGCTGAGCAGGCAGTAGGTGACATCTTCCAGACGAGCAGTCTGTCTCTTATCAGGGCCCACGACATCTTTTGCGCAAATGCTGCATGCATCCCCTCCAACGAGCCGTCTAGCAGGCACTCTCACGGGGGGGATTATCTTTGTGTGATTTTTTGTGTGAAAACCTCTGACAGTGGTTTTTTCTTCTTTTTTTCTTCTTTTTTCTCTCGTCCCGAGGTACACCTAATTCTTATCAAAAAAGAAAAAAAAAAAAAACCTTGACCTCTGTCGGCGCAAAGCCAGCTTCTGCAGTGTCCAGCCTTTGCGTATAAAACCACCTCGAGGTTGGCAATGCGCCGCCGCTCCAGCACCTTTGACATCATCTGCTGCATGCTCCTACGTCTTCTAGAACAGCGTAGTAGCAGCAGGCCCTACTTCTCTGTACCCATCTAAACATGGAATTGATCGACTCACTCAGCTCGGGGCGCTACTCATCTTGTCGATGCAGCATGCATTTGACCCCCAGCCATGTTCAATTATTGGGCCCAGCTCGGCGTCGGCGGTTTTCCAAAAACTAGGTTGATTTTACGCCATCCATGCTCTATATTCAGCCTCGGTCCCGACCAAATTCCTGAAATGAACACTTCTTCAGCTCTCCATGTGTGGGAGATGAATGGCGTATAGGGAGGTGGCTGCAAGAAACTCGGCGAGCTTTGAGCGTCTTGTTGTGCAGCAGCCTCATTCTTTCCTACATGACAGCTCTGCTAGGGTAATTTGGGCAGAGAGTTGCGTCCATGGGAGGGGGGCTGAAGCCTGTTTCTCAAATATAATTGTAGGATCAGGAAGCAGGATGTTGCGACGCAAGGATTGGGAGAATGACTACAAGTAGGGCTGGTTCAGCCGCACGCCCATTGTCATCTTGGCTCGCACGTCGTGATTTTCAGAGTCTGAATATTTTTTTTTGAAGTAATCTCCGACCATAATATAGCGGATGCTCGAATATTTCCACCTTTTTTTTCTCTGCCCTCAGCTGATGCATAATCTCCTCGGTTGCGTTTTCAAAGGTGGTGGTGTAGATGCACCAGCAATGGATCCTTAGATGACATTAGCCACAATTGTACCAAGTAACTTGGTAAATAGGCTGGACCGAAAACAATGAACAAGATTCTTTCCAACTGACTTGTTGACCACCTATTGACTATTCGCTAGTGTCCTGACCTTTGACTCTGGTTCCTCGCGAATTACATCTTCAATCATATTTCTACGCGGCGGTTTCAACCGGGTCAGACTAGACAACAATAGACTGCACTAGTTATAATACGGGAGCTTTTAGCAATCCCACTCTCTAAATATTTAACCAGCTTGGGCAATAGCACACTTCAATATTAGATCCTAGCTTGTACTTGCTGTAAGTTCCCGCATATGACTATATACCCCGCTGTGCCCTCTCTGTCTGATAAAAAATATTCCCAATGCATCCATCATTAGCCCGTGAAGCGCTTGTTGTTTTTGCAAAGTTCCATATGTGCAATTTACGGCTTTGAACAATCTCGCATCGTCGTCAAGTATATACATGAAAGGTGAACGTTTGATATAAAACGCTGCTTCCCCCCTTTTTCTTTTCATAGAGAAAGGTTGATTATCTTGGCGACGCTCGGGACGCCATCGCCATTCATGACAAACAGCATCCAGTAGCCTGGCAAGAGGATGCCAGGATCCGTAGGCAACGGCGCCGTGTACGACCGGTTGTTGTTGCCCCGACGGGCGAGCTTGAGCGGGATGCGGCGCTGGTCCGTGTTGACGGTGTGCGTCGACGTGCCCACGCGAATCAGCGACGCCGACGACACGGCGCCGTCGGTCCCGATAGTAATGCGGCCAGCGTTTACATCGGCCGATGTAATCGCGGGCCGGACGGCAGGAGAGCCGTCCCTGTTGAGCAGATAGCTCGGGGTGAATACCTGGCCGTCGAAATGGTTCGTGTTGCAGTCGCCGCACAGACCGCCGCCCGCGTTAAAGACGCGGGCGTCGGGCATCAGCAGCGAGATGCTGTGGTAGGTTCGCGGGATCGCGTTGGGCGCCTGCTGCCGGAAGCTGTCCTGCTCCGGGTCGTACAGCTCGGGCGTCAGCTGCGCCGTGCTGTCCTCAAAAGGGATGGCGTAGCTCTGGCCGCCGGTAATAAAGGTCTGGCCGTTGGGCAGGAGCGTGGCCGTGGCAAAGGAGCGCGCCGACCACATGCCGTTGCTCGCAAATCGGACGCTGGGCCGGTCGCCGGGCCGCCCAAGGGTGATGATGTGCGCGTTGGTGTGCGCCTGGCTGTTTTGGTACGAGGGCGCGCCGCCGGCGGTGAGAATCTTGCCGGCCGTGGCGTCGTACATGACGGCGATGCCGCACATGGAGTCTAAGTCGTCACCGCGGTTTGAGGTGCGTTTGCCAGCCGACCTCACGTTGCCATTGCCGTTGGTCTCGTACCAGTTCATGGCGGTGCTGGGCCCGGCCTGAAAGACGGTGCCGTTGGTCCAGCCAAACAGCCAGGCGTGGTTGTCGGAGCGGTAGATGCCCTGGGCGTCCTGCGTCAGCAGGTTGGCGACTTTGGCGCCGGGCAGGTTCGTCCACGCGTTGGAGCGAAAGTCGTAGATTTCGCCGTCCTTGGGCTGCACCTCTTGGCCGCTCCACGAGCCGCCAATGGTAAAGACGCGGCCGTCGGAGCAGGTGGCCGAAGACTGGTAGCCGCGCGGCACGTGCATGTCCGGGCCCGGATTCCACCTCTGCGAGGGAAAGTCGTAGATTGTCGTCTTGAGCTTGGAGTTGCCGCCCGTGACAATGACCTGCCCCTTGCCGTCAATGGAGATGCCCGGGCAAAACATGTCGTGGTCCGTGTCGTCGACAATCTTGGGCTCGACGTCGTTGGTGGACGGATCCCAGACGGAGGTGAAGACGCGGTCCCAGCTGGAACCGAGGTAGTTGTTATAGGCATAGGCAGACCAAATGGTGATTTTGCCCGTCAGAGGGTCGACCATGCCGGCCACGGGCACGGTGGGAAAGTTAATGGTCGGTCCCCATTTCCCGAGGCCGGCGTACGGCGTCGGCTCCGCGTTGGCGTCGTAGACTTGGAGATCGGCAATACTCGTCCAGGCGTTGCCGTCCGTCTCGCTCATGGCCTTGATGCGGACATAGCGTGCTCTTTTCGTTTCAAAGTTGGCATACTTGATGAGCGCATCCGCCGGCCAGTTGCCCATGGCCACGACTTCCCAGTTGTCGCCGCCCTCGCTGACGGAGATTTCGTGCCGGGCGATCCAGCCATTCTTGCTGTTGTCTTGCCGCGGCAGGACTGAAATACCATTAATGTTGTGCGTGGTGCGCATGTCCAGCGTGAGGCTGTGAGGCGGACCAGGAGATGTGCCAGACCATTGCGTGTGCCAGACTGTATTATTGTCTCCGTCGATTGCTTTCCAGCATTCGTTGCCAGGTTCCACACTGTCACAGTACACCCCCCATCCTGCACGATCAATAAATCGTCCATTCGTTGGCGGTGCGGCAAAGAGCTGGTTAGCATTGGGGTTTTCTCCAAAGTGTTCCTTGATGGCCCTAGCATCAGGGCGAGAACGCGGCATGACACCGTGGACCACGGAGGCACTCAGTCCACAGAGAAGCCATGAGTACAACTTGATAGTCTTCATATTGGTCTGAAGATGAATTATGCGGATTATTTCATTGGAAACAAAACGCTAATGTATTGGGTAAACTAGAGCCAAGCAAGTCGAGGCGGCCGAGGGAGGGGGGGGACTGGATGAGACTTATAATAGCCAAGCAAGGGGACTTGGATAATGCCAACTGGTCTCCCGGGTCCCTAGCAAGCAAGGGGAACATGTACAAGACAAAGGGAGCTTGGGGGCGGTTTTCGACCGGCAATAAACAACATGCGGTAAGAAAAGGTAAAAAAGATGGAATGACGGGAGCTACCCAGTCCATTCCTTTTGTTGCCTTGTTAGCCGGCTGAATGCCATGCGCGGACATGACGGCTCTCTTTTTTGTGTGTCTCCCCCGGAAATTTTGGGCTGCATGAGGCTGAGGCATGGACCATTAATTGGGGCTGAATTAAAGAAAATACTGCGGGTTAATGACTGGGGCCTTTTTTTTTTTTCATTCATGCTTTACGGAGTACAGATAGGAATTTGGGTTTGTTGTTTGGTCTTGTCCGCCTTTTTTGCTCGTATAATATGCCACTGGTATGAGCTGATGGCAGGGGACTTGCATCCGATCGATTAGACAAGCCCCCCCCCCCCCCCCCAAAGTGCCCCCTCACTATCTAGTTATTTAGTGGGGGATTTTTTTTTTTTTTTTTTTTTTCGTATTCTAGTGTGCTATCCAAAGTATCCAAAAACTTCAAAGCAAGTAAAATGCCATTTCGTAAAATAAAAACTGGAGGAAAGGGGCCAAAGAACCACAAGTTTGGCCCGTATCGACTCCGTTGTTAGTCGAGCACGGCCACTCCCGGCAAAGACGGAACTAACTCGGGGGGCGCTGTAACCTGGTGCCTGCCACCCTGCCAGCGCCTGCTTCACCGAGACTCTGGTTTTCTTGACTCAGCCTATGACGAAAATCAATGCCTACCTGGTCCAAACGACGATTCACAATCTGGACAAGTTGGGTGCAGCACACGAGCAATTTGGTGGGCCCAAGTCCACCAAGCTAACATGCATGCATGGCACCAAGGCTTGTCGTGGCTAGAATTATTTAATAAGATAAGGTTGCTAACTCGTAAACTGAATAGCCTGTAGCCTGTAGGGCCATTCAGGTGCCAAGTCGGTATTTATTATTCACTGCAGCCAAGTCTGCAATGCAGGTCGCGTCGAGGCTGCAGAGGGAAAAAAAAGCCAACTCACACAAGTTTGGCAAGTACCAAGATGCCTCAGGTATCAAGTGCTCTTTAATTTCCTACTACTGATGATGATATCTGTTCTTTTTTGGCGCAATCCTCATCAACCGTATACGGGTAGTGGTTATGCCGGGGGGGGGGGCCTCAAACCGTTTCAAGCGCTTCAAAAAAAGAAGCATACCGAGTACACACCCTGACACCCTGGCACTACAACACCACAACAAAACGAACGATGAAAAGAAGAAACGGAATGTGTCATGTACAGTACGGATTATGACAAGTACGTGAATACCTGGAGATGGCGCTGTGCTGGTGCTGATGGCTGCCTGCTCTTCTAGTTAGTTGATGCATGTCTTTTGCAGCAGAAGGAATTGTAGAACATGACCCGAATGGGCTTGGCATCCATCCATCCATCCATCCATCCATCCATCCATTGGGCCATTTGCACCCTCCTTGCTCCTTGCTCCTTGCTTGACTGGCGCCCTCTTGCGCCTGAGCCAGCTGTGTTAATATCTACCAAGGTAGTATCCGTACCCTTACTTTCTGTACGGGAAAACCGGCTACTTTGGATTTGTAATTTCACGGTCCGTAACATACGTATCTACTCCGTACAGGGTAATAAATACGGAGCAGCGAGGAAACAAGATTCCGCACCCATATTTAGGCACCCACAAAACCACGACTGGCCGGATATTGGGATTAGCGAAAAAGTTCCCCAGGGCGATCCAAGCTAGCCAAGGCTGGGAATACGAAAAAAGCCTCCAAGTTTATTAATAGACCCAAAGTTATAATCTGTCAAAAGAGGCCGAGCGTCGTTTTGACATTTTCGAATAGTAGCCTCCATCCAGCCTCCAGCCTCCTGGGCAATTTATCATCAGCCCCGGGGAAAGGGGATCAACACCTCAAATTCCCACCCACTGTGAATAACATGGCTGCAGTTCAGCCAGCCCAGAGGACGACGCAAAGGACGACGTCTGTTGTGTTGCAAGGATGATCGGATGCCGGCTACGCATTGCGCCGCACCCAATGTCACACAGGCACAGCCGTGCCAATGATGAAATTGAGATGAGCAGTGGCATTCTTCTTTCTCGTCATTCTTCAGCTGTCACTCGGACCTTTGTTCCCCTCCTTCAACCCAACGTGACTGCGTGATTCCCCAGCTGACGCTGCCGTCTCGGGCGAAATGGTCAGCAAAGAAAGGAAATTCCAAGGGATCAAATTTTGTTTCTTACCGTGTCCAATTAGCTTTCTGGCCTGTGCCTCTGCGGCATGGCTACTTTCTTTGTCTTGTTGTTTTTTCCCCCGCCCTCGAGGCGCGGTGTCGCGTCGAGGTGAGACCGAGACGAGACAACCTTTTCGGATTCAAACTGGCCTGCCTGCCTGCTTTCATCTCATTCGGGCACTAACTGCTAGCTGACATTTCCAGGCAACCTGACAGATCCAATGTCGACTAGCGTCAAAGCCCTCGAGGCATCTTGGTCCTCGTCTGATGCCGAGTGCATTCCTGTGGTCAGACGAACGAGCAGCGCAAAACTAGAGGATTCCAGCAATCTGAACAACAAATGGGTCAATCTGGAAAAAATGGTGAGACATGCGCGTAGATGTTAGTGCCCGCCATTCTTTTACTGGTAACTTTTGGCAGATGCTCGTAAGCCACTTTTTATTTTTACCTAGTGAAACCCGTTGAATGGAGTTTATACGTATAGCGTGCATTTCGAATAAACAATCTGTATGGAATAGCAGTAATCTGTATAGTTGAGACATTCACGGTTCCTACTGATCAGTACTGGAACTCATCAACATGTAATTGGTATTCAGCTTTCATAAGCAAGCCACAACGCGCCAAGACCTGCACCTGCAGCCGTGCATACGGTATACCCAGCTCAGATGTCTTCTATCTATGTGTTTCCCGCCTCAACGCAAGGTGTAAAAAAAACATCCCATTCAACACTCAACATGTCATCCTTGATTAATCTGGCGTGACTATAGCATACATGTTACCACTTTAAGCCAGGGCCAAGAACAGAGAGAGACAAAAAAAATAAAAAAGAATAAAAAATAAAAAGACTCCCACCTTTCAGTTCAGTCCGCGCACGGTTCTTTGGGCCAAGCCAGTGTCGCCACACCAGCTGTAACAGCAGCTTGACCTGCTTAACCTGGGCAACCCACCTTGCCACCCCAGCGTGGTCCACGTAGGCCAGGATGGCCAAAGTTCTCAGCGTGGCTTGTGAGCGGAACTTGAGCAGATTTACAAGCAAGACGAGGTAATTGGGCAAAAAAGGTTCATCGACATCTTTTTTGCATGGCGAAAAAAGTTTTGCTAGTTTTTTTTTCCCCCGGCCCATGGGGCCCGCGCCGCTGCGGTTGCATAGCCATAGCATTATCAACTATACGAGATCGGCGTCATCTACACGAATCTACGAGTTTTGCATATCCCTCCTCCAGGCGATTCGGACCTTTTCATCTAATAGAAACATCTTTATTCGTTTAGATCCTCTATAAACTCAATCTCTATATTGAACGATTGTTTATCCGCAACGAGTAACTATTCTCATCCATGTCCTATCGCAAATTCAGGAAAACGCATATACTGCTCAATTTCAGGCGGATTAGTTTTTCATGTAATCCGTAACCGAGGGATAGAAACTTTCGGTTCTTCTGTGCAATTATAACCCGTGGCATTTATAGAACGAAAGGGGTTGATTGCGCGACAACATCTGACTCAACAAACTGCCCTTGCTCCTAGGGTTTATGCTTTTTTGCCAACGGTTCATGCCTGAAACACCGTTCCTAGTCGCGAATTCCTTTTTGCTTTTCCAAACTGCAATCTCGAAATTGAAAAGTCTCATCCAGCCAGAAACAGCAGTTTTGCATCTCGCACAAACAAGCAGTCTTGCATCTCGCACACATGCACCCACGCAACCACGTTGAAACCCTGCCCTGCATACAATGATGCATACAAAGTACCCTTTTGCGACTGAACAAAGTCTCACAAGGCGGAATTCGCAGTATCCGGCTTCATTTGCATCTCCACTTTGCTTTACTAGAAAAAGGCAGCAAATGCTCTTGATCGCAATTGAAAGCCCGGGCACCACCAGCCGACTTCTTCGTGGTTAGGGCCTGTCTCGCCCGGTCGCAACCGGGGGCAGTAACACGACTCTCTTCAGCATGACCGAGGACGGCCAAACTCTTTTTTTTTACAATTCCAAAGTTTGAAACAGCCCATACATGCATGACATTTTGTCGCCACGAATGTTGAGTAGTGAATGACATAATGGCCATGACATAATGGCCAAGACACATGCCAAAGACGAAATACGATGGCCATCCTTGAACAATTCCACGGCTGTAGGCCGCAAATACTCGTATTCAAAAGAATGTTACACCTCCGCTGGACCGCCGTCGATTGTCATTTTACCGAAACATTGATAAAGAATGCCAACCACGACATGGTCTTGGCTACAAGACACGATAGCTGGATGAAAACTGTGGACAAAAGGGTCATGAGGTTGTCGAAAATTGGCCTCCTCCGACAGTGACATCACATCGCTCAAGGAAACTCTGTACGAGCAGGGTTGCAGGGTTGCAGTGTTAATCTTTGTTCATTTGCCTCGATTATGCGCATTCGACTCGGCATTGGGCCCAGAATGCTACGTCAAGTGCTAGGAGCCAGAACATCATTGGCCCAGCTGGATGAACGCCATCGTTGCTCATGTACCTAGGTAGATACAGCAGCGAACCATCATCTCCTGCTGGGCAGCCCCGGGGTAGTGCTGATACGAATTTAGTCGGGCGAGGTGGACCTTAGCCCATCGATTTGGCTTTTATACTAAAAAGGGTTCTTGGCTTTTGCTTGAGGGTGGCGATGAGCCAACGGTAATAACGACGGCAAGCGGACGGCTCGGCCAGAAAGTGGGCAGGCAGTAATCGCTCTCTTTGGGCCTGCGAAAAAGCTCAAAAACTACATGGTCATTTACTCTGTTTCACCTATAGTTTTCGCGTCAAGAGAAGGGGCATGTAAGACACATGCCGAGAGCAAGACACAGCTCGACGGATGACGGATGACGGACGACGGGCGACAGCGATACCCAAAAGTCTTCCCGGGTAGGGGTTCGAAAGATGCAAAAAAGGAGCAAGACAGAGGTAAAGTGTTGGCAGCTTTACTGCCATTGAAGAGGCTTTGGCTTCACAGCCGTGTCTGAATGGATGATGCAGCAAATTTCAAAGGATGAGTGGTCATTCTGGCATAATGAGTCGCTTTTGTTACCCGATGAAAGACTCTGGTTGAGGATACCGCGATGGCGGCTCATCTTGGCTTTGGTGGGCGACATCCCATCGGCGCAGTCATCCGTATTGTCTGTCAAGGCAGTAAATTCGAAGAAAATTTCCTTTACACATTCTATAAGATCAATGGTAATTAAAAAAAAAGTGTGCATTCGTACTGACATGTTGTGGGCTTTTTGCTGCAGCTGCACGATGACGAATAGGGCTTTGTTCGGGCAGCCATGTCCAGCCTAATCACAAATTTTCGACTACGACAAAGAATTCAATACATATTGAACCCTCGGATTCAGTGACTATCTTGAAAGAAAACTATAACGATTTATCCCTGCACTTGTATCATCAAAAAAGACTTTAACATGAAGTGCCTCGAGTTTTACGCAGTCTTGCCGAACCAACGTCTGCTGCGGCCCACCATTTTCTCATCATGGTCAGTCTTTCTTTCCTCATTCGTAATCAATCTAAATTTTGTACTAATGCGTCAAGTAATTAGGGGTGATGCCCATCCTCGTGTGACTGGATGCAAATCAGAAGACAAGTGCTTCTCCAGCTTGGCAGAGGCCAGAGCATGGCTGCGGGAACGGACCCAGGACGAGATTCACGAGGTCCTCAAGGATCGCCACCCGTACCGAGGTAAAGGAGGCTTCTATGCAGTCGCAAATGGTAGAAAAGTCGGGGTTTTCCATAACTGGTGGTACGTTTTTTTATTTTTTTCATTTTTTTTTTTTCATTTTCTTTTGCCGCGTATGCTTTTGTTGTGAATAGATTTTCGCTCTGGCTGAGACTGACCATTTGTTTACCAAAAAAAAAAGTGACTGTCAACTCCAGACTTCAGAGGTAGAGGGCGCATGCTTCAAAAAGTTTGAGACTGAGCAAGAGGCCGAGGCTTTCATCCAAGACTGGAAGCAGGCTGTCGTCGAGGTCTACATGGTGGAAATCAAAACGGCTCTGGATAATGGCTTTCGGCCTGCGCACATGAAGTTCAACGTCAAGAAGAAGCTGCTGCCGCGCGATACCAAAAAGGCGGCAGAACCCGAGCTGGGTAAGGCAAAAGAGGAGGAGACTTTGAAAGGTGGTGACAGTTTGTCTCTCGAGAGACTTGGTCTTGAAGATGAACAAAAAGTGCCGGCCTCTTGAGTTGACGGTCTCGGTAGACAACTGAAGAGTGCTGGCAAATGACACTTGCGGCAACGCCATGACAACACAATGTAATGCGCGTGTTTTGCATCGAGGGCAGAGCTTCTACGCAGTCTTATATTAGTACGTATATGTAACCAATCAATGTATCAAATGTATGAATTCTCAATGCGCATTTTGTTCAAAACAACGCCGTCAGACATAACCCCCGAGCCCAATCATTCGCCTTTGTGTGCCTCCCTCGCTCCTTTTCTTCTTCGTCTTGTTCCAGTGGTCTGCAATATTCCCCATCAAAGTTTGGTTCGAAAACACGGTAGAGATTGCATCGATAAACGCGGAGCCCTGATTTGTCCCATGACCAGTGTTTAGTTGCGGCATCAACAAACCACCGACAAGGTCCGCAGCTACAGTAGCAATTGAACCGTGAATAATGAGGCTGCGATGGTTGAGAACATTCTCAATAAGCGTGGATCTTTGACCGTGAATGTAGCATTCCCTCCCCGTCACTGTCACTTCTATCATGCCGTCCGCGAGCGAGAGAGCCATGCTATTGATGATGGCGCCCACGTTGGCGACCAAGACCTTGAGGTCGATGAACCCGTCCAGTGCTTGTAAATTGTCTCCTGGGCGCAAGACCGTGTCCTTGATTGTAATGTAGCCGATATTCACACCAGCCGCAAACACATCCAAGGTATAATCACCAATGCCAAAGGCAATGGGTGACTTGTTGGGAATCATGAGCATGCCTTTGAGGTTGTGGCCGTTTACGGGAGGCAAGACGAGCTGCGCGTGCTCCAGTCGAATACCACGGTGAAGGTTGAGTCCTTTGAAAGTGATTGTCTTGTCCAGCACCGGCCGTGACTCTAGTATGCCAAGGTTGATTGTCGCGGTATCGGCACGAACATCCAAATCAAGTTCCTCTTCATCGACAAACTTGCCAAACCACTTTGTAAACTCGTCGCCATCGGTAATGCGCTGCATCTGGTTGATGACTCGAATCTGTGTATCGCCATTGACTTTGATTTTTCCAATCTGCATAGTAAGCCAAGGTGTAAACGTAGGTGTTGCTCTATTGTATAGTTGTAGCGAAAAGGGTTGGATAGAAGCCGGGAGTGGTGATTTAAACGAGGTGTTGAGGTTGCAGAGTATAGAGTCGGGGGTCTGGAATAGAAAAGAACCGCCTAGGACAGGAAGAGGCTGCTGATTGACAATGAGTTGGACGATGGCGGGCAAGATGACTTTGAAGCTGCTAATTATCAGCGAGTACTCTCTCTCAAGTTGCCAGCAGTGGTGACTTACACGATGGGCAGCAGAATAGCCAGAAATATGAGCCCGCCTAGTAGATACCATATCCAATTACTCTTGACATTGTTTATCGACTTTGTCCTTGCACTTTTGATCTTCTGGGTTACGCTCTTCTGCGCTGTTTCCGGCGTCTGCTTGGTGATGTGATCATTGGACGTGTCGGAGCCTCGTCGACTGTGGCTGGCATCATCGCCGAGTCCGCCAGACACGACTGGCTCTGTTGGTTTCGTAGTCTTTGAATCAACCATTACGAACGAGCCTTGTGCATGGAAACAAATTGCAATAAATAGCTACTGATTATACAGAGTCTTTCTAATATAGTATACAAGACAAAGCAAGCCCCCCTCGGCCCGAGGGTCCCTGCCATTACTACTGGGTAGAACTTGTCAAGCTAAACGCAAGACGGGGGACATTTGGGCTCCCTCCCCCTACCCAAGTGCCCACGCCGTCTCAGATATCATCGCTCATGGATCCACACGGATCCCTCTCATATAAATCAAAAGTCTTGGGTGTGGGTAAGGTGGTTGGGCGCCTATCAGAGAAAACACCAAGGGCTTGATGATGAACGCCGCGGTTGAGCAACATATCACACAACTAACGACATCAGATTTAAACATCCCACCCCAAAACCTCATGCTACGCTCATCGGGTCTCTCCGTCTTGCCCGAGGAAAAAGAGGCTTCCCTCAATGGGCTGATTCGACTGTTTGTCCTGCCATTCATCACTATATAGTATTGTCAGTGGGCCTCTGACGACTGGTCATCTGTCGCACAATCCGTTGGCGGGTTTGCCTTGTAAGGTGACTCGCTGGCTCGAAAAGCATCTTTTGTTTTTTTATCCCCTATATTGGCTTGAGTACTCGAATCTTTGGTGTTGCATTTCTGCCCTGTGGGTGGGACCGGATTGGCAAGGCTGCACGTAGATCCCAGCCAAAGAACGCTGGCCTGATATGTTGCGCCGAGGCAGCGGCTTATAGTGTCATCGTAACCATTGCTGCCTATTCCATACCCCTACCTTTTCAGGCTAGAGTTTTATTTATTTCCGATTGAATGTATTTCACCGCGGTAATAATCGCCAAACGACAGATCACAAGGATCATAATTGTAGTACCAACTCGAATGAAGCGTCTCCCGCATGCGAGAATGTTATTTCCAAAATAAAGCGCGCTTCTTTTTTTTTTTTTTAAAAAAAAAAAAGGCTTAGCCTAAAGCTTCGACTAGTACGGCAACGGACAAGTATATAAGCCATGTTTTTTCCGAACAAGTCAACCAAGAGCCTCATTTGCGGCCTTGTCAGGGCCCATCTGCCGTGCTTGGCCGCATCGGAGACTAGGATGCTTCCGCCGCAAAGGTCCAAGCTGGGACTTAGTTAGGACCAAGTCACGCAAGTCCGCCGGCAAACATTGCGCCGTCTCCAAAACTCCGTAAAGCTGAAAAGCTCGGCCAATCTTGCGGCACAACCAGCCGGCTGCCCGGTACGGAGTATGGGGAGACGGAGGAATTGGTCCCCCACCGGCCGTCGGTCGGCGCGGGTTTAAGATAATGACCGGTATCTGCTTTTTTCATAAATACCGAGGACTTTTGGCGAGGGGTTTATAAAGCTCTTTCATGGTCGGTCGATTACTGCTCGCAGGAGCGAAGAGGTACGGCCAAGGTAGACGAGACCTCGGATCAGCCACCGCTTCCAGATGGCGGCAGTGATCGGCAAAGTCAAGATGAGGCTTGGGTCCGTCAACTAGGCGAACTTATAAGAGCCCGCCAGTTGGTTTCCTCACTAGGCAACCTAGGTTACGTAGACAGACGAAACCACAACTGCGAATTGAATTGAGACTTCTTACCACTCTGCTTGAGGGAAATTCCATAAAGATTATTCCTAGCTGCATCTGATGATAAAGAGGCATTACAGGCATGCGGGCCTGTTAGCAAGACACCCCTGCCTTGGACAGGTGTAAGTAGTGGCGGGCTGCCAGTGCTTGGTCATTGCATTCGAAGAGTCTGTAACGCCATTCTCTCTCCCGTATCCAAAGCTGGGTTCAAAATTCAAAATTCATTTTTTTTTTTTTCGAAATAAAAAGGGCGTTGCAAGAAACGTACCTTGCAATTGATGGGGTAAAGTATGAGCAAGTTTATACCTTGTTAGGGGTGCATTCCATCTCCACCAGTGCCACCCTGTTCGTCTGTTGTGCAGCATCAAGCGCAGCGTGATTGGTTGCGCAAAGCTTAGAAATCCGAGCCGCACCGGTCCCTTGTCGTCACCTCATGAAATCAAAAACTTGAACCAGCACCAAGTTTTTTTTTTAATTCCAGCACCATAGGCAACCTCTCAATCGCGCCTCGCAATCGACAACAATGGACGCCAAGATCTCTGCTCTCTGTACGCTTCATTCCCTTTTTCTTTTTTCGCCCTTTGACGCTCTCACACTTGAAACTTGTTTACGCTGACCTTGGGCCCTTGACTCTTCAGCTTCCGCCGCTCCGGCCGCCGCCTCGACGACTGAGAACGCTTCGCGCCCCAAGGTACATGACTTCCGAACACAAAACAAAAATGAAGATTGCCGAAATGTGAATGCGTCGTGCTGACAGTATCATGGGACGACAGCCCTGCTGCGTATGCAAGGACGAAAAGGCCAAGCGCGACGAGTGCATGCTCTTTTCCGGCGCCAAGGACCCCCAGGCCGACTGCAAGTCCTTTGTGCAGCAGTACAAGAGCTGCATGCTCGGTTACGGATACAAGGTCTAAAGATTTAGAAATGATTAAGAACAGAGAAAAGGTAGAGACCGACTGCGAGACGATAGAATACTGCGCGATTCGAGAGCACTCTTGTGCGGATCAAATTTTGGACATTTGACGATGGGAGCGCGGGAAACCCCCAAAATTCAGACACCGGTATACCCGGAGCTGTGTACAACACTTGTGCAATTACGAATAGGCCGGTCAGCAAATGGACCGGGAAGCAATCTCCTCTAACTCATGGATGGAAGCATTGATATTAGCAACAGCCTGGCACAGGTCAAGAATGGTACCTGGATAATAGAAGAACAAACAGTTTGTACATCTCCACCCACGACGCGCCTTCAGTCAGGACATTGTGACCCGTCTTGTCTTGAATTATCATCATCTTACAGCAATTGCTGCACTTCACGCTCCTTGACATCGTAGACCTCCATCACACGAGTCTCCAACTGCATCATGGTCGTGTTGAGACCCGACACCACAGCCATCATGTCTTCTTCAATCGCGTTTCGCTTCTGCATCGACTTTGCAATATCCGACAATATCTTGGCCTTTTTCTGCTTTCTGCGAAAATGGCCAGTCAGCACCCCCCCGCACATGGCACCGTAGCATCTCTTTCTAGGAACTTGTAAAACTACCTCCGCCGTTCGTGCTCCTCCCGTTCTTGCGACACCTGGCGCTTGATATCGTCCAAATCTGCGAGGATTTTGGCGACCACGTCCTTGACTTTTCCGTCTCGCTCCTTTTTGAGCTGCGAGGAGACGTCAGTAGTGAACGGCCGGAACATTGACTTGCTGGATGGCGGTCAGCACATACCTGTAGAATGCGCTGCTGTGCTACTATTGCTGCAGAAGTGTCGTCAGAATTCGTAGCGCGTCTTGCCATGGTAATCCTATAAAGAATGGTTTACCAACTGAGTAGCGAGTTTGGGTGCAATTGTGTAGATCAAAGCGAAGTCGTTTGCAAACAGCCAAGATCAGTGGACCGAACCTCTGCCAGCCGACGGCTCAGTACCTTAATCCACAGCACAGGTTGGTCTTTCAATGGAAAGTCGTGTATTAAAACGATATTCTTGTGCCGCACTCCGGTTTCACTTTTTATTCCTTCTATATACTTCAGAAACACCTCTTTTGGGTATTATCATTCATCATCCTAGTCAAAGGTTGGTACTCTATCTCGTAAGGGCAATGTCGTCTATTCTCAGAATCATCTTCACCGTCTCTGCCGCCAGCTCAATGGCGCTTGTGCTGACCAGCAGCGGCTGCAGCACGTTCTCCTTGGAAATGTTAGAGTTAACGCCGCCAGACTTGATGCTGACACCAGCGCTCTTTTCGCCCATCTCGTGACGGTGTCTTAGGTCAGTAACGACCTTGATACTGTTGAGACCGGCATTTTCGGCCAGTGTTGTGGGAATGACTTCCATGGCGTCAGCAAAGGCTTTCCAGCAGATGGCCTCTGTGCCAGTTAGGCTGCGAGCCTGCTTGGCCAGCTGGGCGGCAATCTCAATCTCGGGAGCACCACCGCCGGCGATGAGGGCCTTCTTTTTGACGAGACAGCGGACAACGCAAAGAGCGTCGTGCAAGCTTCGCTCAGCCTCTTCCAAGATCAAGGAGTTGGCACCACGGACAACAACGGACACAGTCTTGCCGGTAGCCTTGGCACCCATAACCTTGACCATACGCGCTCCGGAAGACTGCACCTCCTCGACCAGGTCAGCTGTTCCTAGCTTGTCCTCGGTGAAAGAGTCAATATCGGCAACGGGCTTGCACCCAGTCGACTTGCAGATGAACTCGACCTCGTCGCGCTCAATCTCCTTGATGGCCATGATTCCAAGCTTGGCGAGGAAATGCAGCGACAGGTCGTTGACAGCATCTCTGAGGATAGACTTCTGGATTAGAAGGACATTGCACTTGGCCTTCTTGATTTTCTTGGCCAAGTTGAGCAGATACAGGCGCTCCTCCTTGACAATCTTGTCCATCTGGCGGTAATCGTTGACCTGGATCGTGTTTTCCATCTGCAGCGCATCAGTCAGTGTTTTTCATTCGACCACAGTGATGCTCGACGTACATCGGGTTTGGGAGGGCTCAGCTGGAACTGAATGAGACCAATTTTAGCCTTTTCCATTCTAACAGGGCCGCCAGCATTCTTCAACACGGGCTGGTGGAGAACAAGGCCGTCCACCAGCTCGCTGTCTTCGATCGTACCGCCAACTTTTTTGCAGATGCGAATGTTGTTGAGGTCGACATTCTCGGCCGTCTTGAGATCGATCGTCTTTGTTACCGCGTTAACGGCCATGGGGCCTAAAAGGTTCGAGTACTGGGAAACAATCTTTGACGAGAGCGATGTATTGGCAGCTTGTAGCAACGACGCAGTGTCGGTCAGGGAGATGGGCTGCGACATGTCGTGAAGGACTTCGACGGCAGCGGCGGCAGCGCGCTGGAAAGACTCGGAAATGACGGAGGGATGAATGCCTTTGGACAAGAGGCGGTCGGCCGCACCGAGTAAGCTGCCGCAAATGACGACAACAGATGTGGTACCGTCACCAGCCTCAGCATCTTGAGCACCGGAGAGATTGACTAGCATCTTTGCGGTAGGATGCATAACTGACATGCTCTTGAGCATGGTATTGCCGTCGTTTGTGATAATGGTCTCCCCCTTTCCACCCCGAATCATTTTGTCCATACCACGGGGACCGAGCGATGTGCGCACGGCATCAGCGACGGCTATCGTATAGCAATTAGTATATACAACATTTTCGGATTCGTTGGCTTTGCGCTCATACCTCTGGCAGCGACAATGTTCGACGAGCGAACTGCCATGGGCTTCTCCCTATCCTACAAAACGGTTAGTGGGGGAGCTCTGGGAGCTTGCTGCAGCGCGTCAACTGACTCTGAAGGTAGCATTTCCGCCCTGACCACCACTTTGAACCTGAGCCGCAGACATTGTCGAGAGATATCCTAAACCTGAATTCGTCGAAGTATCCTGTCCAAGACGTGCTTGTGAATAGAACGCGGGAAACTCAGGTCCACAGGCAGCATTCAATCGAAATATCCCACCTTGTACCCTACTCCGCCATTAGCACCACCGCCTGGAAATTTTGGGCTCGGAGGTGGGGATTATCCATCTTCCGCCACCTTCCATTCTGCACTTTGCATGCACGGAGTACACGTAGTCCTAAAGAGGCCTAGCGCGCTTAGACAGGCACTCGGTCTGGTGCTGGAGCTCAGGCAACTGAGATTACGGAATGCTTCTGCCTTTGCTTCAGCCAATCCATCACCAAACACCACCAGTTGCGCCTCCGACGTCGCCGCATCTTCAGTCTCGATAACAACTACTGCTGCAGCTGCCGTTCAATTACTAAACAACAAACCCTACGCTTCGAGACTGGTGGCGCGTCTACCGTGCGCGTTTCATCATGGTGAGCGACCATAGCCGCTGACGTTACAAGGCAAACCATGTCACTGACCACTTCAGCCTTCCGCCACCGGACAAAACTGGGAGAAGTACCAGAAAACCTTTGCCGATGATGAAGTAGAAGAGAAGAAGATCACACCTCTTACCGATGAGTATGCGCTCCAGACTCCCTACGGCATGGCCGTCGCCCTGCTAATTCGCGACCAGGGATATCCAAGTCCTCAAGACCTACGGCGCCGCGCCGTACGGAGCCGCGATTAAGAAGCTCGAGAAACAGATCAAGGAGAAGCAACAAAGCGTAGACGAGAAGATTGGCGTCAAGGTATGCGACAGGCACTTTTGACGGCGTGGCAACGTCGAATGCTGACATGCACAGGAATCCGATACTGGTCTGGCACCACCACATCTTTGGGACACTGCGGCCGACCGCCAACGAATGCAAGAGGAGCAGCCTTTCCAGGTTGCTAGATGCACGAAAATTATCTCGGACGAAAAGGGTGATGAATCCAAGAGCAAATACGTTATTAACGTCAAGCAAATCGCCAAGTTCGTCGTCCAGCTTGGCGACCGAGTCAGCCCCACTGATATCGAGGAGGGCATGCGAGTTGGTGTCGACAGAAACAAGTACCAGATTATGCTCCCGCTTCCACCCAAGATTGACGCGAGTGTCACCATGATGACGGTCGAGGAAAAACCCGACGTTACGTACGGTGATGTTGGTGGTTGCAAGGAACAGGTTGAGAAGCTCAGAGAAGTTGTTGAGATGCCGCTGCTATCACCAGAGCGCTTTGTCAACCTCGGCATCGACCCTCCCAAGGGAGCACTGCTCTACGGTCCTCCCGGTACCGGAAAGACTCTCTGCGCCAGAGCTGTCGCCAACAGAACAGACGCCACCTTCATCCGTGTCATTGGAAGTGAGCTGGTGCAAAAGTATGTTGGTGAGGGCGCCCGGATGGTTAGAGAACTCTTCGAGATGGCCCGAACGAAGAAGGCTTGTATCATTTTCTTCGACGAAATCGATGCTGTTGGTGGTGCGCGTTTCGACGACGGCGCCGGTGGCGACAACGAAGTCCAAAGAACCATGCTGGAACTGATTACACAATTGGACGGTTTCGATGCGCGAGGCAACATCAAGGTCATGTTTGCAACCAACAGACCGTCGACCCTTGACCCTGCGCTGATGCGTCCTGGTCGTATCGACCGCAAGATTGAGTTCTCGCTGCCCGATCTGGAGGGTCGCGCCAACATCTTGCGTATCCACGCCAAGAGCATGTCGGTCGAGAGAGACATCCGATGGGAGCTCATTTCACGACTGTGCCCCAACGCGACTGGTGCCGAGCTTCGCAGTGTGTGCACTGAAGCCGGCATGTTTGCCATTCGTGCCAGGAGAAAGGTGGCGACGGAGAAGGACTTTCTGAGCGCCGTCGACAAAGTCATCAAGGGTAACCTCAAGTTCAACTCTACTGCTACATACATGCAGTATAACTAGAATAGTGTATGGAATGCAGTCATAATGTACGAGTACTGGATGGTGATGGTGCCGTGGGGTAGTGTCTATAGTTGAGTAGTTTTGAATTCGTCGCTACGGAATAGACATGGCGTTTTTCCAATGGCGGAACATGCTCTTTTTGAAAAGTGATTGGGTATTTATGAGTTGTGTTATTGAATTTGTAATATCCTTTGTACAGCCAACCCCATGAAACAATGAGACAAAATAATAACGCCATCCAAGTCTTGCCACCCAAACGCCATCTTGAAGTAAAAGTTGCCGAGTCACCGGCCAGTGTGATCAATGAGGTAAAAAGGGGTATAAAAGGCCATTTGGGCATCACAATGCCATATCGTTCGCTGATTTATCTCCAAATAAACAACCGAGGCAGACAACTTCGCCTTCCGGTCCCTTTTCCACGCAGCAGCGACTGCACACCACGGAGCGATGCCCGCACGCCGCCCAATTCCGAGCCGTACCTAGCCTCTGCTCCATCTTCTCATTCTGCGGCGGCGCTGGCGGCCGGCCATCAGGGTCATCGCCCGCGTCGGCATCGGCGTCGGCATCGGCGTCCTCCATGTGGAACGACCGCGAGAGGGCCTCCTGCTCGGACAGGACCAACGCCATATCGCCCCGGCCGTGGCACTGACGGATGCAAACAAAGCATGTCTGCTCCTGGCAGCCCTCGCACTGGGCAAACGAGTCAAGGCCCGACTTCTTGGTCGGTCGTCGGTGGCAGATGTGGCACGGCGCTACCGTGTTCTTGGCGGGCCGGTGCGGCGTCGATACAAGTGTAGTCTGCTGCGACTTGTGTTTTTGCGATTGTTGAGAGGTCCGACGGCGATGGCATGGCGTGAAGCCAGGGTTGTTGCCGTTGGTAGTGGTGTTGTATAGGTGGCTGGCGTCGTCGTCCATGTCGAGCCGCGTGCGTTTGGATACAGGCGCGGCCATCTTCCGAGTCGAGAGAACAAAGGGGTGGCTGCCGCCAAGAGAGCAGGTTTCGTCACTACGGTAGAGCGAAAGGACGCCGCGCGTATCGTCGTTGTCGTGATCCTGCCATCGCCGCTTACGGGCGGGAGGAGGAGAGTCGCCGCCAACGAATGGCATGGCGATGCATCGGTCCCGTGAAACAACAGTCGTACGTGTGCCACGACCTGAGTCTGCACGATGTAGGACGGAAATGAAAAGAAAAAAAAGGACGCGTGTCCAACTCTGTGTGGTTTTACAGAGCGTCGACTTGGTTGAAAGAGAGGTAAGAGAGGGGGACAGCGCCTCAATTTCAGATCGGTCAGGAGAATGATTAGGCCGACAAACAAGCAGCTATTCTGCTTCGAGGTGGTGGTTGGCGAGGCGTCGCTGAAAGCCCACTCAGGCTGTCACTGAGCACTGTGTGAATTGCGGGCCGTCTTGCCAGGCACCCGCCAGCACCGAGCCTCACCTCACCGCAGAGAAAGTCTCACGAACATTATTTCCCAAAGTTAATATCACCATTGTACCTCTGAGACAGGATATCTGTCATCAATTGACCTTTTGCGTTAGTGTGCATACCTAGCACTGCCATGGCAACATGGGTGATTCCTAGGAGGTGCTCAAAAGCCACCATCGTTCACCCAAACCGCCGCCACCGCCCGCTGTATGCGCCAAGAACAACACAGGCGCAGACAATCTGAATCTCTGTCGACGTTTACAACGTGGATATACTTACCTAAAGAGGCCAAAATTTGTATATTGAGCCATCTGCACGACCTGAGCTCATCTCGGCGCCAACTTTCACGCTTCGCCCGCCCTGTACCAGAACCTGCGGCCCAAACAGCCGCCAGCTCGCAGGGACCGTCCGGCTGCGGTCGTGTATGTGGCCATGTCCCATCTTTGTGCTAATGATTTACTCCGGAATACTTCCCAAACATGGCGACCTTCAAATCTACGAGAACGTCGTCTGCGAGGCCATGTGCTACCTCACGCGCATGCGCGAGTCACCGCGCGGCATCGAGCCTTGACAGCTCAAGCCTGACGTGAATCCGGCCAGATCGACAGGCTAGCTACTAACTATCTCGAGCGGTTTAAACGCTCCGCCCGCGCTATCCTATGCCATAGACCATCTTCTGCCGCGAGAGGGCGAGCTTCCAGATCGTGTCAGTCGCGTGTACAGTCTTTATGGGACGCGAGACAAGTAGCGCTGATTGATAAGGCCTACACGCTGGAACATGGGTTGCACGCGTTAAATCACAATAGCAAAGGCAGCGCACAAACCCTCGAATACGCAGAGATTGATTCGGTTGTCGAGCGCAATCACCTATGTGACGGCGTGGCCGCTGCCGCCAAATACAGAGATGGATACCCTAAACTGGGAAGACCGAGACTCAGCACCTCCGAGCCAATTCAACTTCGCCAACGCGGGACACATGACTAGAAGAAAGTCGTAAAAGCGGCTTGTGGTGTCGAATTATTTCTTCACACACCGGAATAAGCCGTTAAGAAGTGGCGAATTTCACCTTTATGCGCTATTTGGCCTTGCGTTTTGGTCGGATGTTGGGTTGGCAAGTATATAGTGCAACGGTTTCTATTACCGCTACGCTAATAACTGGCAAAAGACTAGGCATTGATTACGAGCACTATCCAGGAACACAAATATGGCTTACATAGCTGTTTGTTATACCTATATAGGCCATTATGGAGAATCAGTGTGACTTAGAACACTAAGAAGACATCGTCCGTCATATGGACATTAGGCTTTTATATTTCTACGCACGGCGGTACAGCCCGAGCATGATGTTGTCATTGTGATGCGAGGCGAATGTTATTGCATCCCAGAAAGATACAATGGCAAAATGTTATGAATTAGCGTCACCGTCAAGTCGACCGAGTATTTCATCTCGGATAGCACGATAGCCAATGGCCTCGTGAATTCTAGCAGCGCAATGCCGACGCTCTGTCAGAGAACGTCTGGTTTCTCGATGCGAAGCAGCTTCTGATAGCACGCGGGAAGAACATTATCGATGATGACCAGCAAATCTGAAGACGACATTGATAATCGGAAGAAAGGCGATAGTGTGGTGAAGACTTGAACCTTATTCCCATCGATTCGAAACTTGCCCATCGCACAATTTCGTTGGAGTCGATTGACGATCTAAACCAGGCCGCGATTCACAAGACGGGAATTGATTGGATAGCGATAAAATTTGCGCGCTGAAAATTATCCTAGATCGTCCCCTTGTGGCACGCTCCATCGACCTTGCTGTATGCCACGGGACCGGATCGCGCAGCGGCCCAGGTTCTCGTACGACAGGTCATTATGTTGCGCTTTCGCTAGCTCAAGTTGGTCACCCTCCAATGCATGTGGGCTTGCGGTATTCCTTGCCGCTAACTAGTCTGCCGTTCGTGATACGATGGTTAGCCAGCGTAGAAGATGACTTCCTCGAGAATTGGCACACGTGCATCAAGCTACATACAGTGCTTTGTCAACCTTCGCACCGTACAAGCCCCTCGCACGCATTGGCGCGACACAGTGCCTGCCGGGCACTCCATGACTCTTGCTTCCCCATACAATCTCAGCTTCAAACACGACCCACACACGCTCGACCGGTTTCCCGCCAACCTCCTTCAGCTTGATCTCTTCACACTCCAGATAGCTTCGCTTCCAGCGCAAGCCGCATCATTGCCGTGTTCCTCGAGCGGCCCGCATTATTTCAGTTCGTTGCCTACCTATTCCTTCTTCATTATCCCCAGCGTCTCGTCCCGTCATATTCAATCCTCCCCTGCCCTTGCCCGAATCTTCCCGTCTCGTTGAAAGCGTTTATTGCCTTTCCATTCAGCCTCCTGGGCCATCTTCCGCGTCCACTGCATCCAGCCACCCCCTCTCTCTACGCGACTCTCTTTGCGGCGCTCTCTTTCTGCCATCAATCTTGTTCCTCTCGCGCTTCTATTCTCTCCTTCGGCCGCCTGCCTGCTCTGGAATTACCCTCGTCCCGTCTCTGAGTCTAACCATGGCGCCCCAGCCAATCGATAGGCCCCTCCGCGATTTGATTCAACCTCCGGCACGGCGCATTTCTTATAGCTGAAACTACGCTTGGTTACTATCAGCTTCGATTGTACACTGAAACACAGCGGCGTGTTCCTAGAGCAGCTAGCTCTCGTGTTGCAATGGACTCGTACTCGTCATACAGAGACTCCAGGGACTCTGGTCGCTCCCCAAATGTGGACCGACCGTCTCGCCTGCGTGACGACTCCCGGGGTAGAGATGACCGTTCAGATGGGTTCTACCGCAATAGATCACCAGGTCAGACGCTCATTACCGATGTCGGACTCAGTGCGCTAACCTCCTCATTCAGGTAACGAACGTCGTGATCGTCGTCGTTCTCGCTCTCCCACCGACAGATATGAACCTCGCGCCCGTCGAGATGGCCGCGACAGAGATGACAGAAGACGCGGGGTCTCCCCTCCTTCAAACATCGATCGTTATATTCCCAATCAGGACAGCGGCCCGGCTGGGACTCTCGTTAACCCCGTTCCGAATCCCGCCCAGCTTCCTTACCAAGTCGGCTTCTCCTTCTTCAGCGAGTGGTGGCGCATGAACGAGAAAGTAAAAGAAGAGAAGGAGCGCATCCGCACTGGGCGCCGGCGAGAGCCCGAACGTCCGCGTGGCACACGCGAATCGCAAGAAGAACGGGAGAAAGAGAAGGCACAAATACAGTCGGCCTATGATACGTATAAGGAAGAACTTCAAGCCAAAATGGCTCGCGCTTTTGTCAGTGAGCATAAAAAGGAGCAATGGTTCAAGGAGCGATACGTCCCCGAAATCCGAGATAACTTCAGAGCCAAGCTCAATGAAATTCGACGCGGTGCCTATAGTCAATGGGAACAAGATCTAGAGTCTGGTACCTTTGACGAGTTCTCTTTGGAGGGCATTCCGAAAAGCGAAAGCAACGGCACAGGCGGCGTCATCGAAAAGGAGGAAGGCGAAGCTACCGCCACGAATGAGATTCTCGGCGTCAGCGATCTTGTCCCAGCCAATGGCGCGGACATCCGCGATGAAAACCAGTTCCAGCCAACTCTTCTCATCAAGACGATTGCGCCCCATGTCAGTCGTCAGAATCTCGAGGAATTTTGTAAGGAGCACCTTGGAGAGGAAGAGGGTGGTTTCAGGTGGTTGTCGCTGTCGGATCCGAACCCGAGTAAGAGGTATCACCGCATCGGCTGGGTGATGCTTCATCCTTCTTCTGAGTCTGCAATGCCTGTTGACCGGGCTGATCCCAAAGACGACGATGGCGAGGCTGATGCCACGCCACCCTTGGCCTCCACAGCTGAGAAGGCCTTGGAGGCTGTCAATGGCAAAACTGTCAAGGATGAGGCGAGAGGCGACTTTGTATGCCACGTTGGTGTGCACAATCCACCTGGTAACCCAAGAAAGAAGGCGCTTTGGGACCTGTTCTCTGCGCCCGAGCGTATTGACAAGGATCTGCTGCTTGTTCAGAGGCTCGTGAACAAGTACGAGGAGGATTTTGGCTCCGACTTCCAAGCCATCATTAAAGTCGAAGAGAAGGTCGAGAGCCTCAGAAATTCGGGCCAACTGAAGCCCGCAATCCCTCCTGCGCCTCGCAAGAAATCTACGAAGACACAGGAGGTGTCTATGGACGAGGCCATGGATGGCGAGGATGACGGTCTGGCCGCGGAAGACGATGACGATGAGGGTGCCGTGGATGAAGACGAAGTGGACGATGAGGATATGCTAGTTAAGAAGAAGCAGCTTGATCTTCTCATCGAGTATCTGCGACGCGTCTTCAACTTTTGCTTTTTCTGCGTCTTCGAGAGTGACTCTATTCACGAGCTCACACGCAAGTGCGCTGGTGGCCATTTGCGCCGCCCTCGCAGCACTCTTTCGATCTCGGCTAGAGAGGTTGCCAAGGCTAGTGCAAACGGCAGCCCTTTCCCCGAGAAGAAGCGTGTCGATGGTGATGAGGATCTCGACATGGACAACCAGGAAAACGACAAAAAATTCCGCAATACGTCGAACAAGACCGAGCAGCAGTTTATGCGAGCCTTTAACTGGGTCAAGACGTTTGAGGACAAGCTGCAGCAGATTCTGGAGCCTCAGGCGTCAGATCTCCGAAAGCTGGGCGGACGTCCCGTGGAAGAGGCGGTTGAGGCTGAGCTCATGAAGCACGTCAAACAGGAAGATGAGCACAAATGGCGTTGCAAGGTTCCAGAGTGCAGCAAACTATTTAAGGAAGAGCATTTTTGGAAAAAGCACGTCGAAAAAAGACATGCTGAGTGGCTCGATGGGCTGAAGGAGGAGTTTGAACTCATCAACGCATATGTCCTCGATCCCTCACATATTGCGCCGTCGCGCACTGACGCAAACTCGAACGGACATTTCCCGCAGCCCAATGGTAACTCTACAGCCGGAACACCTCGTGGCTTTAGCCTGCAAAACTTTTCCAACCCGATGATGATGCCAGGCTTTTCAGCTGGTGGTGCCCCCAGCGGCTTCCCAGGTATGCATGGCAATGGATGGAACGGGATGGATCACGACCGGTCCGGTGGCCCAGTTCGACGCGGAGGCATGTACAACAGGGGTCAGCACCGCACTGGCCCGTATGACCGACGTGGTGGTCGCTCCGACGGCGGTCGAAACAGAATGGGGGGTTCCCGCTGGGGCGACGGTGCTGGTGCCGGTGCTGGCGGACCACGGGAGGCTGTCCAGGGACGGAGCTTGAAGAGTTACGAGGATCTCGATCAAGTCTCTGGCGGTGGCGGTGGTGAATTGAACTACTAAAAATGCGTCATCTTTTCGGTGTCGGGGTTGAACGATGAGCATCTGAAGTTGCGGCGCCACTGAAAACAGTTCAGCGGTTGCGAGGGTATGGCGTTATCTATTTCCATGGGAACTGCGAGTTATTTGGATCAAAGTTTGCAAGTAAACAGGCCAAAATCGGCCGTGTATTTTTAACCAGCTCTTCCAAACGTATCATGAAAAATACACCTTTGTTTGACTGAAGCTGGTGCTGTCATATCCGTTTTCAATCTAATCAAAGTGCTCGAAGGTTTGGATGCAGCATCTATCAGTTACACCTGGTGCTTATTGGCCTCTGCCCGTCAGGCAGCCACCCCGACAAAGGGCAGATTAATGAAAAAAAAAAAAAACGCACTAGCTTTCTGGTCAGTATGGGTATCATCTACTACGACTACGTGACCGCCAGGCCGACCCTGAGTGATTCAGCTCACTCACTGCCTGATAATGGCCGACCTGTTGGACATGGCTATAAACCAGCAATTGCCTCAGAAAGATTGAGAAGCGCGATGCTATGAAGGCGCAGATACAGAGCCTGTAGGAAAAAGTGCAAGCGTTAACAGACACAGTTTCCGCGAATGTCGAGGCACAGCTACTTCCACCGTCGAATGCTTATAAAGACAGGCGGAAGAATGCCAAGCCGACAACTCTACGTCCACAGAACGAAGTCGACGCTCTCAAAAAAGCCAATCAAAGGGCTGCGAGAGAAGCAGGGTACACTCAGGGACGAGATTGAGCAACTGCTGGGGTGAGTTGAATCACGATCTTCTCCAAACAGTTACCATAAACAGGCAGATGACTACACTCCAGCCAAGACTGTGGGAAGCCACCAAGATGCGTTAACGCACCGCCTTCGGGAGTGGCCATGTCGCTGACTTCCCCTCTTCTGTCGGGTCAGCTACCTTGTCTAGATTCACGAGCCCCTTCATCTATCTGCAGCGATCATTCTCCTTTATGCCTGCAAGGAAAGCACGCGAGAGATCTTCTCTCAAGAAAGTAGAGCGTTGGCCGTCGCTCAGGTTTCGCTGCAGATCGGCATGATGAATGTGTCACTCCACCTCTGTCCAGTGTTGTTGATTCGCGTTTGCAAGTAATGATGCGACGCAGTCCGCACGCAGCTCGTGACCATTTGTCGTGCGGTACAATGTTCTCGTACATGTCCATCTCCCTCGTCTTGACTAAGGTGAGGAATGTCTGCAATGCTGTGCTCTAAAAGAGCAACGGCTCCCGCCGAGTTTGGAAGACGCGAGCTCGAGCATCTCCGTCCCTCGACGCTGCAGCTGTTTGACAAAGTGATGCGTTTTTTGTGCTTTGCCAAAAGCTCTGCGCTAGGCGCCGTAGTTGATTCGAGACGTGCTCGTAGCGTGTAAGTGCCAAGCGCAGGTGCCTTCGGACAAACCCCGCGACTGTTTTTGAGACTGCAACTTATTCGGCTCTACTGGTATATACCCGGCCATTCCCTGCAACCAGTATCTTCAAAATTTCATACGAGCCATTGCTCCATGCAATTGCGGTCAAAATTGTTGGTCGCCATGTTAAATAAGCTAACCGACAGTCGGCAACACGAAACGCTATTGGGCAGTAAAATAACGACCAAACTTTTCTTATCGATAAGCCAACCGCCAAAAAAAATCTACGCCGTCGCACCCCAATCAGCCATGAGCTCTCAGCAGCGCAGACATTGCTTGCCGCTGACAACATCTTTTTCATCTTCAACATGGCGGGCTCTCAACTGAAGCGCTTGAAAGCGTCGCTGAGGGAGCAGGGTGTCATTGGACCCCAAAAATCCAAAAAGCAAAAGCGCCGCGATGCCGAAGAGCAAAAGGGTCGCAACGAAAAAAGACTGCAACGCGGCGCAGTCTTATCCGGCATTCGTGAGCAGTTCAACCCCTTCGATCTCAAACACGCCGCGAGAGGACCCAAGTTCGATGTCACCAGCAATGTACCCAAGAGCGCGAGTGCTGCCAAGGGCATCCAGGGCCGCCCTGGTGCTGCCAGAGCTGCCGGCGAAGAGCGGGTAAGCCAAGTTCAGTCATTCTTATTCTCTACTGCCACTAATTATACTTGCATCAGCGTCGTGAGACTCTTCTAGTCGACATGCAGCACCGTAACAAAGTTGGCGGTATTCTCGATCGCCGATTCGGAGAAAATGACCCGACCATGGCCCCAGAGGACAAGATGCTCGAGCGTTTTGCCCATGAGAAGCAGCGAGCGCACAAGAAGAGTTCCATGTTTGATCTCGAAGATGACGGTCCACTAGATGGAGGTCTTACACACGGCGGAAAGTCTCTTTCTTTTGACGATGACGACTCACTTGTCGACGACTTTGAAGAAGACCTCGATGCAAACGATAGCGATGGCTCCGTTCGTGAGCGACAACGCCTAAAACGACTTCGAGGTCTAGCGGGAGAAGATCATAGCGACACTAGTGATAAGGAACCCGAGCGCAAAAAGTCTAAGAAAGAGGTCATGGAGGAAATTATTGCCAAGTCCAAACAACACAAATACGAACGCCAGGCCGCCAAGGAAGGCGATGACGAGATGCGAGCCACGATCGACAAGGAACTTCCCAATATTCAAATGCTATTATCATCATCAGCGAGGAACAAGCGCTCGGAAGAGGCGGAGGCAGCTACCATTGCAGGCTTCGAGCGCGGAGAATTCGACAGAAACTTCGACATGCAAGTGAAACGTCTGGCGCAGGATCGCCGTGCACAACCCCAAGATCGCACAAAGACGGAAGAGGAAAAGCTAGAGGAAGAATCAAAACGCTTACGCGAATTGGAAGAGAAGCGCCAAAAGCGCATGCGCGGAGAGGAAGTTTCCGATAGCAACGACAGCGAAGACGATAAGAGTAAACACGCCTCTGCCAACGTCGAGGACGTCGAAGATGATGACGATGAATTTGGGCTTGGTGAAGGCATTCGCACACGCACGACAGCTGCCGACATTGGGCTCGACGATGAAGATGACTTTATCATTGACGATGACTTGGTTGCGAGCGGTTCTGATCTAGATCTGGATCTCGGTGATAGTGGTGATGAGTCCGACGATGAGTCTGGCAACTCTGATGCTGAAGACGAAATCGACGAAGACGACGAGTTTACAAAGGGTCTTTTGAATGAGGAAGAGACCAAGAATCCCGTCTTTCATGTGCCGTCTGCTGCCAAGACGTCGGCTCTTGAAAAGGGAGACGAGCACGGTCTTCCATTTACATTTCCATGCCCGGAGACTGTCGACGCCTTGCAAGCCATCACGTCACAGTACCCCCACGAGAGCACGCCCAAGATTGTTCAGCGCGTGCGTGCGCTGTACCACCCTAAGCTCGACGCCAAGAATAAAGAGCGCCTGGGAAACTTTTCCAAGGCCTTGGTCGATTATATCGCTTCTCCATGGGACCCTGCCACTGCGCCACCGCTGTCGGTCACCGAGAGTATTGTCCGTCACATTCACTCTCTCGCCAAGATGTTCCCTATTGAGATCAGTAATCGTTTTCGTCATCACCTCAAGGAAATCGGAGAACAAAGGACTCTTTCTCTGGAGCCGTCTGATCTCTTACTTTTGAGTGCCATTGGAAGCATCTTTCCCACGTCTGACCACTTCCATCAGGTTGTCACGCCCGCCATGCTGACTATTGGTCGATATCTTGGCCAAAAAGTGCCAAAGCAGCTCGCCGATTTCGCTACTGGCACGTTTCTCTGCATTCTTTCTCTTCAATACCAACAGCTTGCCAAACGCTACGTTCCCGAAGTCATCAATTTTACCATTAACACTCTCTGCGCCTTGGCTCCCATCGCTCCATCTACACAAATCACAACCACAATCCCCATACATGAGTATCCCCAAAAACGTTTTGTTTCAGCTGCGGCGACGATTCGCAGGCTACGATTTACCGATTGTATCCCTGGGGATGCTGGCGACTCAGTCCCAGCCTCTGAAGCCGCCATTGTCTCTGCCGCCATCCTTGCTACAACGCTGCAGGTTCTCGACGCAGCTGCGGACTTGTGGACTGGAAAGTCGGCATTCATCGAAACATTTGCACCTGCCCTCTGCACCTCCAAGCATCTTGTCTCAAAATCCTGCCGCAGCAAGCTACCGTCGTCCATTGCACAGCAGGCCGAGAAGCTGGCCACTAAACTGGAGCGCATGTCACGTCTCGCCCACATAGCCCGTCGGCCGCTCGAGCTGCATCACCACCGCCGGCTGGCCATCAAGTCCTTTATTCCCAAGTTTGAGGAGACGTTTGATCCATCCAAGCACTACGACCACGACCGGGAGCGCGCGGAGCTGGCCAAGCTGCAAAAGGAACACAAGCGCGAGCGCAAGGGGGCCATGCGGGAGCTGCGCAAGGACGCCAACTTTATGGCGCGCGAGAAGCTCCGCACCAAGATTGCCAAGGACGAGGCGTACGAGAAGAAGTTTAAGCGCCTGGTGTCTGAGATTCAGAGCGAGGAGGGCCGCGAGTCGAATGTGTACGAGAGAGAAAAGTCGGCGCGGAAGCGGGCTAATAACAGGTAGACGAGAGTTGTGTTGTCTCGTGCGTTATGATACGGCTGAATGTATATAAGAATATTATCAATTCATCGACATCTGCATGGTGCAAATGTTATGATTCATCAATCTGGGGTGCAATACGGCAAGTTCATAACGATGAGCTAAATTTGGTCAAAAGAAGCATGTAAGGAGAGCGCCGGCAATTCTACATTACTTGCCAAAAAGAGAGTCTAGTTCTTTCATGACTGTAATCTATCTGTAGTGCTGAACTACAGGGGACACAAACCACAATAGCACCACAATATGGGAAAAAGCCAATCGACATCAAAGTTTGGATTACATTGTCTCGGCAAGTGCCTTTTCCATGACCTTGCGCCACTTTGGACCATTACGTTGGAGGAAAAAGACACAAGTGTAACTAATAACCATGCAAAAAAGTGCTGTTGCAGTGAATACCCAGCCAGGTCCAACGGCATTGAGCCACGGCGCAGCGACAACAGTGCCGATACAACTGAGGAGATTGCGCACAAAGTTATTTACGGCAACGCCGGCCGAGCTCTTTTTGCGTATAAACTCGGTAAGCATGGTAGTGGCTGCGGACTGGTTTTTTTTTTACTATCCGTTAGCCCAGAACTGCGGTGTGACAAGATGCAAAGGATACGGGACAAATACTTACAAAGACGAGCATAGATGTGATTCCAAAAATAAATGCGCCAGCGGCTGGCGCAAGCCACATGACGCCGTAGTTGATGGTCCATCCAAACAAGAGCAGGCCGCAAGGGTATACTGTCACAGCCATCCAGGCATTTTCACGAAGACGGTCTTCGGGTAGATAGACTAGTTTGCCCTTGTCGTTGTAGCGGTTTGCCTTGACAGCCTCGCGGGCCATGATGTAGTCGAGCCAGCGGCCGCCGACCAGTGAACCGACAACGTAGCCGAGTCCGGATGGAATGTAGAGCAGGCCGACTGTAAGCTCTGGGTACGAATACGGCGGCTTGGCGAATTGCTGCTGAACAGTAATGTTCATGACAAAGAGGCTTCCAAAGGCAAATGCAGCCAGAATGACTGTAATGAGAACGGGAGGGAAACGGAGAATCAGCAGGACTTTGAGGGGAGCAAAGATGAAGCGGTAAACGGCGCTCGTGAATTTCTTGGCATGCAGTGTGGTCGATTCCCTCGTCGACAAGCGTCTAAGCGAAGCAGCAGCAGTATCATTACCGCTGATGAGTGGCGGTCGCGGCGGTGGCGGCTGCGCAGCTTTTTCTCGAGCCAAGGTCTCGGGAAGGAGGAGCGTCAGCATGACGACAATGACGCCGCCGTAAATGGCCAGGAACCACATGGTCGATTTCCAGCCAAACGCCTGCGACAAGGCACCGCCAATGATGGGCGCAAACAACGGTCCGAGCAGCGGGCCAAGGTAAAACATGCTCATGGCGAGGCCGCGCTCGCGCGGCTCCCAAATGTCGGCAATGGTGCCGGCGCCGACGGCTTGGACGCTCGCAGAAGCGCCGCCGACGCCGATGCGCATGACGATGAGCATGGAAATGTCGACGCTTAAGGCGCTGGCAATGGAAAAGAGGACAAAGAGTGAAAAGGACGCGAGGTAGATGGAGCGACGACCGAATTGTTCAGAAAAGGCGGACCACCAGATGGGGAATATGGACATGGCTACCATGTACATTGCAACAGCCAGGTTGGTAATGGTGGAAGTGGTGTTGAACTCGATAGATATGGTGTTTAAAGCGGCTTGTATCAAAGAAAAAAAAGGTCAGCTTTCACGTTTAGACTTTTTTGCAGCTTTCATGTTGAATTAGGGGCGAAAAGAAGAAGAAAGAAAGAAAAAACACACGGTAAAAGATGGAGGAACCGAGCGGTGCTGCTGCAGTCGCAACGGCAATGGTAGCGGTAATGCCCCATTTCGTAACCCTTTTATAATCATACGGATTCACGACTTCGGGTACAATCGTAAAGCGACTCAAGAGACCACGGCGCTGACCACGCGGAACAACCACAGCAGGCCTTGTGCGAGTCGACGATGCTCTCGACTGGCTTCTCGACATGCCGAGCTCCGCCGTGTTCTGGGGGTCGACACCAGCGCCAACGTCCAGGCCGTCTAGCCCGGTGGACCAGACACCACCATTCTTTTCGTCATGTTGTGTGCGCGACTCTTGCGACTCGGATCTTGCCGAATTGATTGACAATATGCTCGATTGAGTTTCGCGGTGCTCGTGCTCTTCGGGAGACTCTTGTTTGGATGCCGGGGCCGCATCCGAGGCAGCAGCAGGAGCCATATGGCCAAGACGGGGTTCAGCTGCGAGAGCCGCTTAGGATGTAAATGGCAATGCAGCCCTGAGACATGTCGCAGCTGGGGTGCACAAGAACCAAAGAGGAAACGTTTTGGTTAGGGTTTCGTCCTCAACTACCAGCAAAAGATGCTAAGAGGTCATCTCTGGGCATTCTGGGGAAAAAAAATGGCCGAGTTATGAAGGGGGGGGGGGGGGGGCCCGGGCCCGAATCTCGGGAATGGCCCTCAAGAAGCCGAGGGCAGATATTAATTACGGGTGCACTTTTCCATGGGGAATATTACTCAAAGCCTGCTTGTTACTGGCTGCCCGGGACAATTCCAGCGAGCCCCGCCGTGAGCGGCTCCGTACGGCTCCCCTAACTAGTTAGTGCCACGGCTTTTTGACCTATTATTATTAATAACAAAAAGTGCGGCCCAACTGCTTAGTTGGTGGCCAAATGGTTCTACTAGTGATTGTTGTGTTTTGCCGCAGAAGTTTGCGTCAAGAGTGAAGAGTCAAGACAAAAGGCCTTGCCTTGATAAAAGTCCGTCAGCATCTACAGTTATAAATGATAGATGCGAAACTCAACGAAACTACAAGGCAAAGTACATACAGATGATGGACGTTGTATATAATCTTTTAGCTAGATTTAGCGCTAGGCGTCAGCAAAGAGCGGGCGTCGTTGAACAATAGAGACAAAGTTTAGTTGAGATCCACAAGTCATTTAGATGGGCATATTATATAATACAAAAAACTACAAACTCTGAGATTCATGCTAGCGGTCAAAGGAGTTTCATTTCACCTCTTCGTTGTATCTAAACTATCATCAACTGAACCAACACTCAAACACACAAAAGACTTTGAACAAACCATGCTGTGGACTACTTCTAGTTTCACCGTACATACTTGAGCGCGCCCTCTGCGGGGCTGATCCAGGGTCAATTGTCAATTTGCCCGAACCAATAAGCGTCAAGTTCATCATTTACCCCAGCCCACATTCTACCACTTCCAAATGAACATACCCGGCGACAAGTGAGCTCTGCTGCAAAAGGCAATGGCGCGAGAGACCTAGTCCGAGAAACAAACAGCTACCAACTCATGCCTATGAGATAGAAGACGGCGTGGGCTCAGTCCATCAGCTGCTCTGACTTGAAGTACCTTCGGGGGTTCATCACAATGATGTGGAGGTGCTAGGCCACCCGTCCCGTCCCATCGCCGCGGTTACCCTAACCCTGAGCCTCGGGACCGCAATCGGCGTTGAATATGCCATCAGTTTGCAGAGCTTCAACATGGCTACACTACGGTTCTGGGTTTTCAAAGGCCCGTAGTTGAAAGAATATACTTTCTATCAATTGCATTGTAGCCAACTTTGAGGCCGTCTTATAATTTTCCGTATCTTTGCGTATTCATAAACGTGGAGAGTAGTTACATTAACAGGTTAGGATTCAACCAAATATCTGGTATTTCTGTCGTTGTCATTATTCATTATCCTTGCCAATGACAGACTATTGGATCAGTCGCTGTATCACACTCTCTCCAACTGCTGCCTGAATTCCCAAAATAGCGCTGAAAACATTCATCCCTTGGCCTTTGCTCTTTTATTGCTCTCCGGTTCATCAAAGCATTCTTTTTTTTCGCAGATATAGGCGCCACAACTACAAGTAACGTATCGCCAGCCGGTGTATTGTCTGGCCAAGTAGGACCGTAAAGATCGAGTACAGCAAAGAGAGCAAGCAAAAATTGTTGATGCCCGGGCCAAACAGAAACAGGCATATGACATGATTCGTGATAGTTTCGTGGAGCGTTCTCATCATCAATACTAAATAACCCCCCCCGGTCGGTCAGATCAGCCTGTAACGAGAAAAAACTTTTTACATCGCGCACAACAATCATGAGGGGAACCTACCATTAGGATCGCCCTGAAACCGTGGGGACAAGCAACGGAGAACCGCAACAATGAGCCAAAAGTTGGTCACCGTCGCGTAGCAAAACGAAAACAAAGGGCTCGGAATCTGGGGACGTATAAACTATGCCGCTCCCTCGACGGCGGCCCACGCGCCGGCTGGCTTGAGGCATGGCTGGAGCGCGCAGCTCTCGCTCCTCAGCATCTTGAACAGGCAGTCGCCCACGTCCACGCCAAACAGCGACTGCAAGCGTTCCGCGCTCGCAGTTAAGAGTTCCCGGCCAGTGCCTGATCCCCAATGCGCCGCAATCTCTCTCGCATCGTCGGCAGTCCGGCAGAACTTGGTGACGAGGACATCTGCGACATGTCGCTTGACTTCGCTGGCCGACCAGTCAGCCGAGGGGACAGGGCTGGTGCTTGGCGTTCCGATTCCCCACAGGTCGGCGACAAATCTTTGCATCATGTTAATAAATATCGGAAGAAAATTTGGCTGAAAAAGACGTTGGACGATATGTAGACCAGAGGTCAAAACTTTGGAGCCCCTATTGGGAGAGTCTTGTTGACTTTATCTCGGCGAGCAGGAACTACTGCACCAACACTCTGCACTGAAGCAGGGCAGCCGCTTCCGACGGAATAAAGCTACTCGAGCATTGATTAACTTTCAACCCATCTCTATTCGTGTTTCAAATACGTCGCCACTTCTATAATATCTAATCGCTCCTGCTCCCACTTCTGGAGAGGCGACTCTTTGCTCCTCTTTCTGCCAACCAGTAAAGCCTCGATCATCCAAATCCAATGTGCGCGCCTGATTAAAAAGAAACATGTGCTTAAAAGAAATGCGCAAAACTCAACTCCATTGTAAAAGAAAAATTACCCAGTTGTTCTTCCACGTGCCCAATAACAAAAAGAAAGTGCCATGCAATCTCTTTAGAGACTGCTGAGCACATCGAGAATTTGCCCTCTTTTACGAACCAACAAGTTATACAAGCAGGACCAAAAGGCTTGCTGACAAAAGTTTTTTGGGACCGCAACGTGGTCGGTCTTGCTAAGACAGCAAGTTTTTGAGCGATGGGTTTGCGCTAGCACCGCCTGGGCGCGCGTCAGATCGTGGTGGCATGGAATCCCGAGACGGGTGGGGTGGCATTGCGCTGAGAGGGCCCGGAGGAGGTCCGGAGGTACTCACATGTACCGACGAGTGGTACTGGGATCGCTGCGGATGAAGTCCGTGGGCAAAAGAGTCCCGCGGAGGTGGTAGAGGCGGACCGCCATTCGGATTGCGAGGAGGCGAGTGCGATGGGTGTCCTCCGTGTCCGTGGTACGGCGGCACATACGCTGGGGGTGGAGGTGGAGGTGGCGGTCCTCGTAAGCTACGCGGCGAAGGCGGCAAGCTGCTCGAGTACATGCTTGAAGGCGAGTGCCGGTGGTTCATGCCAACTGGTGGAGGCGGACCAGACATTGGCGGCGGTCTCAGCGACGAGATTGGTGGAGGTGGTGGTACGCTGTGTATAGAGGGCGGGCCGCCATTCAAGTGACGCGCCGGTGGTGAGTGATGGCTCGTGGGCGAGCTGCGGTGCCAATCGAAATGGTTGCTCCGTGACGACGGTGGAGGCGCTGGAAATGCATGCGGGGATGAATGCGGCGGCCGGGCACCTGTCATATGCGACTGCGGAATCGTCGGCGCGTGGACCGGATGGGGTAGAGGCGGGGGAGGACCGGGATGCCCGTGATGGTGGCTAGATTGAGGGCGTGGCCATTGGCTCACAGAGCGAGGATCGCGATATTCAGGAACGAGCGGCGGAGGTGCGGGGGGACTGCGCAGCGAGGGCTTTGAGATGGGAGCTTGCGTCGGATGATGCGGCCGCGAGTCTGATGTGGACAGAGTTGCGGGCGTGGCATGCGCTCGAGGCGTCTTGGCGAGCTTCTTACACTTGTGGCACTGAAACCTTCTCTGCTCAACAAACTTTTGTGCCTCGGATCCAATCGTTCCATAGTGGCCATTGGTGAGCTGTCTTTCCTGATGTGTGTCAATGGGCCACCATCGAGGGGTTACATCAACTCCACAGCTGATGCAAACCTTTTCGCCAGGCTCAGCAGCGTTGATAGCTGGGTTGGGGTGATCACCATTGGCTGCACCGGCAACCCCAATCGCCAGCGGCGTGTTTGCTGCCGTCGTTGAAGATACTCTGCGAGTCGCGGGAAATGCAGCGCCGCCAGCCTTAGCCGCCGTGGTCAGGAGGTTTGCCTTTCGTACAGTTCCCGTGAGCGTCAAATCAGCCTGTTTGAAATTTTGCGCGTAAAGCTGCAGTGCATTGAGGCCGCTGTCGCCGACAATTTCATGCATCCTGTGAGCAATGGTCTTGGTGGGAATATGATCCTTGCACCACAGCATGGCGGACATGGTGCCACTTTCGCCATTGATTGTCACAATATTAAACTGATCACGCCGGGAGCTCTTGACCGGAGTAATGTCGAAAGCGAGGAGATGACCAGCCTGTCGGGCGCATTCCACATGAAATGTCGTGCGGCAGTGATGGCACGGAATACAAGCTCCATTACCGCCCCGGTTGCATGCATGGCAAACCTCGTCGTATCGCAGCTTTGGTATCGAGGGAATGCCCTCCGACGGCTCCATAGCCTTGGAATTGCCAAACTTGACCTCTGGAGTCCAGACGGCACAGGTAACATGGACCCAATTGTTGTCCGCCGTGCGCTTCAATGGCTCTCGAGGGTTGGCGGGCCGATTAAGTTCTTCTTGACGCTTTCGATAAACCTCGGCAGCCTTACGAGCTTGTTGAACTTCCAACCTCTCGCGCTCACGGTCCTTGTCCGACATCTTCTTCTTGTGATGGGTCAGCTTTGGTTGTTCGACAAACTCTTGCTCGGTATGTTCGACAGGACACAAGACGCATTTATACTGAATTGAGACCTGCGGGTTCTTGTCGTTGGTGCACATGTCACAGAGCCATTTGCCCTGGACTCGGCTGTCCATGATACCATAGCAGTTGCGGTGCACAGTGAGGCGACACTCGCGGCAGGCAACGTGCTGGTCGCCAAGAGGCTCCATCTCATTACAAACGGCACAGGGCAAAGTTCGGGCCTGAGGCAATTCGGGCGCGGGAGTAGCCTCATTCGTTCTCTCCTTGTCCTTTTTCTTAGTCAGGACAGTACCAGACGTACTGCCACCGTCAGAATTTGCGGGGTCAAAATCTCTGTCAACGGGGACCTTGAGACGCTTCCTCGGAGGCTCTATGCCATTGGCACTGGCGGTGCCGCTTAGAGGAGTTGAGTCACGATCGGGCGTCATGAGGCCATGCTCCTGGGCAGCTTGAAGCTCCTTGAGAAGCTCCTCGTCCTGCTTGCGTTTCCAAGCCTTGCCATTTTGAGTAACCTTTTTGGTCACCTCCTCGATGTCTTCCCATCGGACGCCATAGCGGCGCCACATTTCGGCGCAACGTCGACAAAGCGCCACGATTGGCTGATTGTTTCTATCCTTGGGAGGTAGCTTGGCAACCCCATTCTCGTCGAGCAAACCCTGCATAGAGTTGGGGGCTCTTCGCCATTGGCGGGAGTTGGTGGTCTCGCAAAACAGGCAGACAAAACTTCGCTTCTTTTCGGTGGCCTTGGCGGTATCGAAAGCAGAATCGTCGTCCTCGTCGGCAACATCATCAGCCATTTTGTTGGCAACAACTTCGGCTCTTTTGGCCTGCTTCTTGCCCTTGCGACCCGAGAAATTGCCGCAAATCTGCTTGCCGCGCTCCGACTTTTTCCAGGTGTAGTAGTAGCGCGTAACCTGACCGGCGGTCATGGTTTTGACATGTTTCTTGACAAGGTACAGCTCAGAGCCGTACTTGAGAATGGCTTCTTCCCAGCGCTTTTCTTCGGCGGGAGTCAGTCGCGGTTCCTTGAACTCGGCAATAGGTGTCTTGTCGAGCATAGCAAGAGCCTTTTCGTAATCATAGTCTTGGAGAAAGAGGTCTTTGATGGCGACGTCTTGTAGATTGGTGCAATGCTCGGGTAGACCGTGACTCTTGGCCGTGTCTCTCGCTTTGTCCATGTAAGCAATAACCTCCTTGGTGGAAATGCCGTCCTTTTCAGCTGGAGGGATCCAGAGCGGAGTGGCAGTGCAGTTGGGATCATCGGCATCGTAGTCCTCGCCTCGAGTGGTATATCCGGGTGGCTCATCTTGGACCCATTTCGGTCGCTTCCCACGCATAGCCTTTTCCTCCTGAATATCCTTGAGCTTGGCTCCGCCCTTGCCGCGCTTGATCTCGGGAGGTTTGACATATTCAACAGGACGGCCTGGCCAGGGATGTACAGCGGCTTGATTTCTGGGACCGATGCGGGTGCTTGCGCGAGGGTATATGCGGTCGTCGTAGTCGAGAGCATCCTCAGGCTTGCAGTGGAGGCCGAGATAGCGATAGGGCCATAGGCTTGCGTGATATATCTGCTCGGCCGTGCCTTGATGGTGGACTTTATCGTCATCGTCGGGCGTAGTTCGGTTTGTGTTGGGGTCTTGGGCGTCCTCTTCGTCGTCATCGAGAAAGTCTTGGTCATCTTCGCCGTCGGGAAGGGTGTGACGGTTTTCGAGCTTGCGTTCTTGGGCACGACTGCAAGCAGCACATGACCAAGCAAAGCCTCGAGAGGGTTTTTTCAATAGAGGAGGGCGGACACAATTCATGTGGTAAGTGAAGCGACAAACGGCGCAGTCGACGGAGTCGTTGCTTGGTAGCGTTAGTGGACGTCATGGTAAATGAAGAACGTAGAATTTTGGGAGTGAAAGAGCACGTATGACAATTGGTAGGTAATGACATATTCAGTGGCAAAGATGGCGAATTGGTATAGCTGTCAAATTGAAGGCATGAGTGATGGTGATGGGATGTCGTGTAAGCAAGCATCTGGTAGTGCGTGCAGATGTTCCAGTAGCGTGGACATGGTGTGCAGGCGGCTGCCGTTCTTGGTATGTGGCCAGGTGGGGTGGTAAGAGGAAGTGGGTTCGGGGCTGGCAAATGAGAAGCGCTGGCAGGCAGGGGCGGCCACTGAGAGAGACTGAGAGCCACTGAAAGGGACTCTGAGCCCAGCGCGAGCCACTGGGGTGAGCCGGGCTGCAGCTGGTTGGTTTGGAAGAGGTGGGATTGGCCCAGGGGCCGAGGGTGGAGTCGTGCAGGGGAAGGAGGATTATTGGGAGAAGAAAAAACAGGGCCCAATAGAAGGACAAGAAGAAGTGAACGGGAGTGACGAGAACAAGGCATCTGCCCATCTGCGATACCAGATGCTGGTGTTGCTGACGGGTGGCTGGTTGACGACTGAAGGCTCTGCTGTGTGCGTGCAGCTTGGAGGCATGTGGCGCGTGTGTGTGGCGACGATTCAATTGCGTCTGGTCTGTCGCCATAAAACACGCCCAACACACCCCCATGACGACCTCGCCGCCTCACCTCGCCTCGTCTCTCACCACTGTTTGCTTGCTGGCACCTGCATGCTGGGCCACACTTTGGCTGGGCCACACCAAGCCCACCTACTGCCACGCCACGCCACACCCACCCACACACATCCACACCCAGCTAAAGCCTGCAGCTCTGCATCCGCCGCAGCACCCACACACCACGTCCCATCTGGTTCCCCCGGCCAAGGCGTTACTCGGTAAGCACAGAGACGCCGGCTCCAGGCTGGGCATCAAGGATGAAAGAAAAAAATTTGAGGACGGGTGAGGGAAAAGGAAGCATAGACTGAAGGAAAGAAGAGACATACCTTGCGCAATACCCGGTGCATCGCTTGCACGACTTAACCGCGCTAGTTAGCTCCTTGCCTCGTCCCTGCTCAACCAAGACAAATTTCCACCGCTCATCCAGCACCTTTTTCACCTTGTCCGGCACATTGACAATGAGATTGGTCGGAATCAGGTCGTAGTGTTTTTGAATGTACCGGTCATAGAGCTTCTCAAACCAGAAGCAGTCGGGCGATTTGCGGTACTCGTCGAAGTGATCAATTTCCGCACGGTGCCGGATCTGACATTTTCCACGCAGCGCCGCCAGCGGGCTAATGTCGGAATGCATAGTCGCAATCACCAGTCGCGTGTCCGAAACCTTGCGTCCAATGTCCTTGGGCCGGTAAAACCAGTTAATGCGCACCGCGTCCACCGGCCGCGCCGGGTCGTTTTGCGAGTGCAGAAATTCCATGATGCGACCCAAGTAGTATGGCTCGCCGGGCGGCTCGCACACCAGATACACATGATCTATTAAATTATCAGTATTTTGCTCTCATTGACGGTTATTTCACCCGCGTGCGGCGCCATGACACATGACAGCGTATGCCGCCGTGGTGTTGTGAAATTGCACCAGGGTGGAGCCACCGCGACTTACCATTCGCTTCCAGCACTGTGCCATCGTCAGCCACCAGTCGCCCATTCTGAGGGCGCGCCTTGCAATTGTCAAAACTGAGCATGTTGGTATCTGGCCAAACCGCTGGCGTCGAGTTTTGTGATGTGGTGTTGGAGCTGGCGACACGTCGCGCTGACTGCGCTCCTGTCGTCGTCGCTGCGGCCACCTGTGCTGCTGGGCCGTTGGCTGCCTTGCGCTTGCGCGACGCTGGTGCTGACGATGCTGATGAGCCGCCGGATGCGTGTCCATTGCTGTTGCTAGCATCGGTATAAGCCTGCGATGCGGAGGCCTTGGAATCGTCGCTGCCTGGCGCACTGCCCGTCAGAGGCTTGCGACCTCCAGCCGCGACGCGCCCTGACGTCTCGCCACCAGTCATGGCGGCGGCGGCTGTGGTGGTGATGGTGGCTAGGCGTGATGATTTCTTAGGCATTTCGCCTTGATTCTTGTCGTAATAGTCATAATTATCCATTTCAATATCCTTATCCTCGGCGTAATTAGGCCGCGCGTTGCCATTTCTATTGCGGGAGCGCGTGCCATATGGCGCGGCGCCATCAGCGCCAGCGTCCTTGTCCGCGACGGCACCAGATGGGTTGGTCATGGCGTCTGCGCTGATCTTGGAATCTGGATCTGATGATGGCGAAACCTGTAAGACGGAGGGGGTAAAAGTTAGTGTGCAAGCGAGGAAGTGCGCGACGTCAAGGTGAGGGCCGCTGGCAGGGGCTGGGACACGGGTGAGGCGTGGGATGTGAGGTTTGCAGGTTTTGAGTGAGACGTGTGTGGTATAAGAGAGCGATGGGCGGGAATGGAGGGAGAAGAGAGGTCTGTATGAAAATCGGGGACAAGAGAGAAGAAGTAGGGCAGTCAAGAGGGGAGAAAAACTCACAGTTTGCTGGGCCATGGTGGCAGCACGCATTGAGCGTATCGGCCGCGATGAGATGAGGCAGAGGTCGTGTGAATGGCATGCCCCAGGTACCAAGAACGAGGAGGAAGGGCCAGAAGCGAGAGGCGTGGTGTGGATGTGAATTTGCGTAAGGCGTAGATGGTAAAGAATAGAAAATCGGGTTGGAGAAGTGGTCAGAGGGAGAAAGGGCGGGAGCGAATTCGAAATCTGGCGATGGGGGATGGATCATGAAAGAGAGGAAAAAGGTTTGGACAAGTGGAAGAAGGCGTGGATGTGATTCCCTGCTGGTGCCGAACAAGAAGAAACGTCCCCGAGGCGGCGTCGGCGGGCCCTTGGGTCTCGCCAGACGGGCCAGGACAAGGCCAGACAGGCCAGACAGGCTAGACGGGGCAGAGAGGCAAGGCTTGGCTTCCATGGCTTTGGTTCGATCAACAAGTGCTTTGAGGCTTGGAGTGCCTGCCTATTAAACCCAAGGTACCTTACTGAGTACCTGCCTGCCTGCCTGCCTGCTTGCCTACCTAGGTACGGATACCTCACCTACCTTTGCCTCTATTATTACCCGTACTCCGTACTCCGTAGTTCCTTGAATAATTACTGTGCGTGCGTCCCTTGCACAAGTTGCACACTTGCACTAGATGGCTTTTTCTGTCTGGCCCTGTCGGAGCCTGTCGACGATGCTGCATGTGCTGCAAGCCGTTCTCGAGGTACTCTGCATCACCACACAAGTCAACCCATCGTCTTTGTACTTTTCCGATTATCCATCCAGATACAGGCGCATGACCCCCTGTAACTGCTCGTTACAAAATCACTCTGCCGCCACCCTTGACATGGGGGGTGGCGCACTACCTAACTAAAACCCTTGCCATGTACCTCCGAAGTTGCCACTATCATCTCCACCCCCGTTCTCCTAGTCTTCCTCACCAAGCCCTCGCAGATCCTAGATATAAACAACTTTATATCGACTTGGCACACCCTTGAGCCCAAGTGTTGCTCAAGAGGCCCCACTGGTCCCGCTGGGTCAGACTCAGTCGAATGAAAGAGGCATCGTAACAACCCGACCAGACCTCTCACCTCTCTCTGCAAGGTCATTCTCGGCCTGTCCAGCCTTTTACTTGTTCTATTTCTTTTGTATTTTCCCTGTCCGTATGCCTCCTCGATTGGCCTTTCCAGTCCGTTGCATGTCACTTCCCACCTACCTACCTCCCTATTTACACGCGCCCTGATCTCCAGCCCCGTCCTGCATCCGCCGCCCATTCCATTTTCAACATCCTTGCTCGCTGTCAATATTGGCTCCCGTACGAATTACGCTCCCATCAATCTGCCCTCAATCATCCCATTATTATTATCGTTTTTTTCCACACCAAAATCCGTTTTCCGTCGCCGCCACCGTCTCCGTCGCTGCCGTCGCCCAATAGCCGCCTCTGTGACACTTGTTTGTCGCTCTTTGCTAGCTCTGCACCATACGCTGCCACTCTTGGTTGCCTCGTCTCTCCTCCCTCGCTCGCCCTCCCACCCCTTCTTCCCTCGACCCATTCCTCTCCAGATCATTTGCCGTCACCACAGTCAGGTAGCAATAGTCCTGTAAACTTGCCTGTCCGTTTTCCCAAGACAACCCAGTCAGTCGCTCCACGTTGCACGGGCATTATTTTCTCTTGTTGCGACCATGGCTACAAACAACATCACATCTGGTTGAGATGCATGTCCCGTCCCGTAGCAAGGCAAGGAACAAGCATTCGATATCGTCGCCGTGCTGCACAATTTGTATGCCTTGTAGTCTCCACGAGCAGAAATAGCACTGATCAGGCCAGCGGCAACATGATGCATCTAGCGAGCCATGGACCCGTACCCAATATATTCGCTTTTACAGCACCCGCCACGAGCGCTCGGCCACCAATCGACCTACAAGCTTTCCGCGCCGGCCGAGGTGCTCAGGCGTTCTTCGAGTAGAAATCTCTAGTGACCGAGACGCTTTGCAGTTACGCTGCGTGCTTTTGGCAGCACACGATACCCTCACGATATAATGTCTCGTCGTTCCCTGCGCCTCTAGTCATCTTACTCAAACAAACAGCTGCACGCGAGGTTACACCACGTCGGTTTCCGGGAGGCCTCAAGCTCACACGTTGTTTTGCAAAACAGCCATTAGCATGGCCAGCCTTGGTGCAAGAGCCTCAAGTGTGCCGTAGCATGAGGCTGCTGGCGCGGCTGGGCCGCTAGACCGGCGAAAAAAGAAAGCACTAGAAGGTTTAAAAATAAAAGCAGATCAAAGCTGCCGAATAACGAGGCGGTGCCATTTGAAAGCACCAGCAGCGAAGCCCAGGTCAACGAAGCAGCGGGTGCGGTGCTTCAACCTGGGGCGTGTGGAGGGCCGAAATCTCATTAAACTTCTAAGATTCGCCTTCTCTTTTTTTTTAGCCCGTGTTTGTTTTTACCATTATTAGGCACAAAAAAAGTACGTCTAATTCTACAGCAGCAAGGTTGGCGCCAGGCCCAAGCCGAGGCGTACTATACACTGGTGAGAGCAGGCTTTTTTCCGGCAAGAAAGGACCCGCCCGCCCACAACGACGTGACAACAGCCACGTAAATACTTTGTAAAGGGAATTATGGTATTCCTATGACAGTAGAGGGGGACGGTAAGACGAATCCGAGGTACTGCACGGGATTACATTCAGTGGAAAGCAGTCCATCAAAGCAGGTCTGGCGCGCCAACGCCCTGTAAAATGAACAAAACATCATCGTTTTCATTGGGCTTGGACATGACGACATGGGTGTATGGACTTGGCCCGCGAGATGGGAGTTAATCCAGCCGGCCGGGGTTCAGCCAGTCATCTACCCTATCGCTCCGAATGTCCAATGATTGTGCATTTTTCCAACCATCAGACTTGAGTGCCTTCTTGACCATGGGCAAGCATGGGAAGGCAGAACCCTCCCGCTCGTCGTTGTAAAAAAGTTCAGGGTGCGTGTCTCATGATAGGATGTACGCCCCCCCCGTCCCCCCTCCCCTCCCCTACCGGCCCGCAAAAGGGCTACGATTCGGTAATCGTGCCCCGTTGTCGCATTCTTGAGCCAACCTCATGGCAACAATCACCTCGTCCAGCGGCTGCTGAATGGCCGGGTCGCAGGATTCTTGTCAATTTTTCTCTTGTAAATACAAGACGTCTCCTTTTTCTAACCTAATAGAACTAACTGTCTGAGCTTCTGGTCTCGATGCCATCGGCACGCATCAACGGCCCGCCTTATCCGTTTGTGCCTCAAGGGGGGCAGTTTATCGCCACATCACACAAGGTAGTCTGAGACACGGTGCATTTTACGCACTCTGTGCTCCGGCTGCTAAGCGGCGCCGTTCGGTACTTGATTCAAATGTTCTGCATAGTGTTTTGATAAAGTCCTAGTTCCGCCTGCCGAAAATGATGCCGCCTTTTGAGAAAAAACATTCCATCTCAAGTCTAACGGCGTCGGCTACAGGGGTCATGAAGATTCTATCAGCAGTCATTTGCCCAACGCGCTGGCGGCGCCCCAGCTGTCTCCCGCCGCTTCCCATGTCAACAAGGTAAATAGCTCTCCAAGCCGGGCAGCACACTTGCCAGTGCCTATTTATTTTGAGCGTGTCGTTGCTTATTTTCAGAGCCATTACCATCGCTTCTGGTCGCTTGGGTGATGCACGCGCTGTGGCTGACAACTTGCCACCATGGCATCGATGGCTACAGTCTTGGCCACCAGCCAGTTCCTGTCTCTACAGGATTGTTTGTAGGTGTGCCTCTGCCTAGGCCGCGTCTTCTCTAAACACCGTGAAAGGACGCATCAGAACCGAGCCGTGTTTGCGTCCAGATTGAGCGACCGAGGATACGCAACCAAAAACCACGTAATCAGGGTAGGTACGCTGTACGGTACTTTATGGTTTAGTCGCCTCCCTATTAGAAGTTCGCGTCAGAGGCTTGTCCACCACGCACAAACTCTACCTTGACTACATGCCCACTGACTTTTCTTCACACTAGGTCTTGCTGTGCCTGGCAAACTATGCAGATATTTAGCAGCCCTTGTGCACTTTGTGCAATACATGTGTCGCTAAGCCAACGCCACTGGCGCAGCCACACCACGACATGTTGTTTGGAGTGTGCTTGGAAACGGGCTTTGACAAAGGGCTATGCACACAGGTTTTGCAGCATTCAACTTGTCAACTCTTAGCGTGCTTGGCCCCTGCTTGCGCTTCGGGGAAGAAACAAAGGCATAAAACCGCCCGAGGCATCTCACCTTCCCGAGTCGCACAGCTTATCCCATGGTGGCACACTCTGGCATTCCATCTCAAGTACCCGTGTGCCTAGCGTCAGCTGAAGCCGGAAACGACGACGATCAGTTTGGAGGACGGCGTAGTGTTGCGTGGGAGCCAACGAGCGACTACACCAAGGATCTAGGGGACAAGTGAGATGCTCGGGTAATGGAATTGACAGCGAATGCCGTCTGTGGTTCAAGAACAATTCTATTGTCAGTACAACATGTCCCCCAGGCAGATCGCTTATATGCGGCGCAAGCTCCGTTCCGTTCATGGTACGGGGCGTGGGGGTAATCGCTGTCAGTGTGGCAAAGTCAGAAATTGGGAATGGCTGCTGCCAAACGCCTTGTTCGCCTGCCAGGCACCCTCATCCTCCTGCATGAGAGTGAGCGACATGTAACTTTGTACTGTTGCCAGCCCGTGATTGCAGCCGGTGACGATTGATACTTACTGCATAAGCAACATTGCCAATCCTCACTGTTCAGCCACATGCAGAAGCTGCACGTGTCAGCGTTGTAACTTCGTGCCGTGCCACTACGTCGGGAGAAGTTTCAGAAACAAAGTACATGAGCGGACGAGTTGCAATGATGCCTGCCGACCGCTTCATATCTCCGCAATTCCTTTGCTGCTTTAAATAATAAGAGCGCACGGGCAACACATTAGCTGTTTGAGCTACATACGCAATCACTTGACACTCGGGCAATGTGGCCTTCGCTGCCTCATAATGTCGCCAGCAAAGCCACGATTGGAAGAATTCGGTAGGCCAAAAGATTCTCGAATCAAAAGAACCATTATCAATATGTTGTGCAGTCATTTCTCAATCGTTCGTATGTCTTCCTTCAGCCATGACCCAAGAGCTTAATTAAAACCGCTCTCTGCACGTGATAACGCGACCGTCTCGCCATTCCCCAGGTCGCGTGTATCATCGCGTCCTGCCTACACCCCACTGACACCCCACTGTAGAACATGCCGCGAGGCGCCAATGCCATCCCACCTGGCATTCACAAGCTGGCACTGCGGCCCAATGGACAGCGCATTTCCACCCTCTCTATTCATTGTCAACTCGTTTCTTGGACTGGTCATTAAAAAAGGCAGGACGCGAAAACATAGAAGCAGAGCGTCATGCAGCGCATGAATGGCCTACTGCACACCACATCGTTACAACTCGCCCAAAAGGACCATTCGCACACACACGCCAGCCCTCCCATCATCGGCCAGAAGCGCTCCTTGTCTACCGCTGCTCACAATGAAAACGACCGAGGCCCACAATCAGCTGCCAAACCGGCGGTTATCTTCAAGCGCTCCATCGCTCTGCCGAATGCTCCATCCAAACTAACCCCGAGCCTCATTACGACACTTGGGCCGCCGTCCCTGGGCGAGGGCGAATATACGCAACGCCATAAACTTGCTGCGACTCCATCATCATCGCTAGACCCCGAGCTGCACTTGTCGCATACCGTCTACAACCTGCCGACGCAGCTCGTAGCCAATTTTGCAGCACTTGGCATTAATCACATTTATCCCTGGCAGCGAAACTGTCTTAGAGGTCCTGGACTGCTCTCCGGTGAGCGCAACCTGGTCTATTGTGCTCCAACTGGTGGTGGCAAATCCTTAGTCGCCGACTGTCAGTGGATTCCATTCCATTAGTACCCTCATTGAAACAAACGGCTGCTGATTATTGTACCTGGCCAGTGCTTATGTTGAAGCGTATCCTCCACTCGCGCGAATCCAAGGCCCTACTTGTCCTTCCCTACGTGGCTCTCGTCCAGGAAAAGGTGCGATGGCTGCGCCAGCTTGTTGAAGGCCTCAAATATTCGCCGGCCGCTGAAAAAGACCCGCACGCCCCTTTCAGTTCTCGGCCTGCTCAGGATGGCTTGCGGGTGGTTGGCTTCTTTGGTGGCGGCAAAGTCAGGGCCACCTGGGATGATTTTGAGATTGGCGTCTGCACACTGGAAAAGGTATTGGCTGATGGCATGTTAAGTCACCCTAACCACAGCTAATTATAATGTGATAGGCCAACATGCTTATCAATACAGCCATCGAAGACTGCTCCGTTGCCAAACTCCAGGCCGTAGTACTGGACGAATTGCACATGGTTGACGACGAACACCGAGGCTACACCTTGGAACTCATTGCTACAAAATTGCTTAGCCTAGAACACACTGTTCAAATAGTTGGCATGAGTGCCACCATTCCCGTAAGATGACGTGTACCTGTGCCAGCTCCTCACTGACACCAGGTAGAACATGGACCTAATGGCCAAATGGCTCAACGCACACTCTTTTGAGACACGATACAGACCTGTTCCTATTGAGGAGCACCTCGTTTGTAACGGCGCCGTATTTGCTGCCGATAACCCGCTTGGTCTCCCCGACACCATCAGCCAGCTCCAGAATGGTGTTGTCAAGGCTATTCGAACGATTGCTCCTTCTTCGCACAAAGAGCTGTCCGACCCTGTCCTGAACGCCGTCGTCACACTTGCACATGAAACTGCATCTGCGGGCTATGGTGTCCTCGTATTTGCGGGCAGTCGCGGCATGACCGAGTCGGTGGCACGATGCATCAGCCGAGTGATGCCAGACATTTCTGAGATTCACGAAACAATATTAGAGAAACGAATTGACTTGCTAGATGAACTTCGAAGTTTACCAACCGGCCTTGACCACATATTGGAGGAGACGGTGTTGTTTGGTGTTGCATTTCATCGTATGTCATCCTCTGACTTTATCCCTTGCCTTGCTAATTTTCCTCTAGATGTAAGCCCTATGCCCAATCTTGTACACAAGTAATGCTAATTGAAAGGCTGGCATAACCGCCGAAGAAAGAGACCTGATAGCGGCTGCATACGACTCTGGTACCTTGCTAGTCTGTGTCGCCACCTGCAGCCTTGCTGCCGGCATCAACCTGTGAGCAACTTACTCACCTCAACACCCCAAATCCCAAAGGGCTGCTAATTGTTTGCAGGCCAGCACGACGTGTCATTTTGCACAATGCCAGGATGGGCCGTGACTTTGTGGGGCCAGCCATGCTACGGCAGATGCGAGGGCGCGCTGGTCGCCAAGGCAAGTCACCCATTGGTGAGACGTACCTGTGCTGCCGCGAGGCCGACTTGGAACCTGTCGTGCAGCTGATCAAGGCGGAGCTACCCAAAGTTATGAGCTGTTTGACGTCGGAGAATCGCCGCGTTCAGCGGTATGCTTCCCAAACCGTACAAGTAAACTGCATATACTGACTATTGCAGTGCTGTCTTGGAAGTAATTGCTGTACGCTTGGCTACTAGCTATGACTCTATTCGCTTCTACTTTGCAAAATCTCTTCTAGCTCTCACCCAAGACCTCTCCAGAGTCGATGACGATCTAAAGGCTAGCTTGAAGGACCTCGAGGGTCTAGAGCTCATCGAGTCGGACGCCTTTGGTAACTACGCGCCCACGCAGCTTGGAAGGGCCATTGTGGCGTCCGCAATTGACCCGGACGACGGCATATTTGTGCACCGCGAGCTCGTCAAGGCGCTACGGGCCTTTGTCATGGACGGCGAGCTACACATTCTCTATGTCTTTACGCCAGTGCAGGATCTAGGTATCACGGTCAATTGGCAGGTGTTTCGCAATGAGCTACAGCTTCTTGATGACAGCGGACTGCGCGTTCTACGGTTCCTGGCAATAAAGCCGACTGCTATACTCAAGTTGTACGTCGACAACATAATCCCTGGTTCACGGACGCTAATGTTGTACAGTGCGCAAGGCGTCCCGGTGCCCAAAAACACACCGGAAGAAAAGGAAATGTCCCGCGTATATAAACGCTTCTATCTTGCACTTCAACTTCGTGATTTGTGCAATGAAATGCCGGTCCACATTGTCGCACGCAAGTATGACGCACCGCGAGGCTCTGTGCAAACACTGTCGCAAACCTGCCATGGATTCGCTGCCGGCGTGATCAAGTTTTGCCAGTTTATGGACTGGGGGTATGTATTACGACGTGTCTCAGCAGCCCGTGCTAATATCTGGTAGTCTTATGGCAGCCGCCCTAGATCACTTTTCCGATCGCCTCCTGGCAGGCGCTCGAACCGAGCTACTTAGTCTCGCAAAGATACCATTTATCAAGAGCCGCACGGCGTACGTTGTCGATCATGCACACTTATTTGCCTGCTCAGACACTAACCCATCAACAGGCGTGTTTTCTGGGAAAATGGGTTCCGCACCGTGGGCACCATTGCCAATGCTGATCCTAAAGAGCTTGTGCCTATATTGAAACAGGTTTGTATGCACCGCGCCGTGATCAACTGTTGCTGACCATCCATGGAGGCAAATCCTAGCAAGATACGAGTCAAGGGTCTAGACATTGCCAAGTACGAGGACAAGCTGCTGGCCAAGGCCAATATCATATCTGCTTCCGCCAACAGATTATGGAGTGAGTCTAGAGAGGCGGATTTCTATCAGTGAACAAAGCTGACGAGTACAGGTATACAAATGCAAGCAGAAATGGAACTGGAATGAGGAGTGGCAGGCAAAATACCCTAAGGACCTAGACAGATTTGCTCGATTCATCGGCCGTCTATCCTACAGCCAAAACATTCTATCACAAGCTCCTACTTGCGGATGTTACGCATCGCAACTAGAGTGCGGCCATCTATCGTACAATTATGCATAATATACAGTATCGCCTTCCATCTCTACAGCAGCAGCGCCATGAGACCCGCCTCCGCAAACGTCGGCATCTTGCCAAAGCCGCCCATCTGCTCATCAATGTCATCCGCTGTGAAGAGCCTTGAATTTGGTACCGACAGCTTCCTCTCGTCTGGAAGGTCCATCCCATTGCGCTCGTTGGGTGCTGTGACAAAGATACCCTTGCTTGACAGCGCGCCAAAGTGGCCGCCCATGAAAAGCTTCTCCGGCCGAGTTGACGATTTCTGGTGCGTGCCGGGGACGCCAAACACGATACTCGGGGGCAGGTACTCGGGCATGTCAGGCACATCATCGAGCGCCATAAGAAACTGAATTGTGCAGCCGGTCGGCGCAAACGTCGATTCGCTCATCGACTGCGTGAAGCGGTGCATCTCTTCCTCTTCAGAAAGGGAAAAATGTGTTCGTTGGGGGTCAAGAGAGAGCAGGCCCTTTTTCGCACCCCAACCTCCGCCACCACTCACTACGTTCTCGTCAGTGAATTTTGTCAAGGCCCAGGGTAAACTCGGTTGGACTTACAGACTTGGAGCAATTTCGCGCCGCGCTGGTGCGATTTGTGCAGATACTTTGCCGTTTTTCTCACGAGGTTTTGCATGCTAGACTCACTCGTATCAACCGACAGCGATGTCGGACTGCCGTTGAGCCATGACGTTGCAGCGTCCGCAGAGTCGCTCTTGGGAGTGATGAGTGCCCAGATGCCTACAGGCCCTGTGTTGACAGCGCTGTTGCCACGCTTGCCGTAAAATGCATTGACGGCGTCCTCTAGCTCCGTTGAGGCCGGAATCACCTGGCCGTCGATTTCAACACCACGGACAATGTTACCAAAGCTCGCTGCTACCAGACGGGGCGGCGTCACGGGCACCAACGGCGCCCACATCCCCAAATCTCCCATCTTCTGCGGTAGTTCACTGTCTGAGACGAAAACCTCCTGCGTGTAGCGCTCCAACTGGTTCTCCATTCTAGAGCCATTTCCAGAGAGATCAAAAGTCGAGGCTAGGAGCGTTGAGGTTCTGTTGTTCTGAAAAGTAGTCCTTGCCAGCGGCAGGGTGACTTTTGGCACACCTAGCGAAAATGACAGCGCTGATAATGCATCCTTATCTTCTGATGACCGCGGGGGCTCGGGCTGCCACAGATGCGGCAACATATGGTCGAGATGTCCCCTCAGAACCGATATCCCTGGCGAGATATTGTAGCTGCCCAGCTGTGGCGCGATGTTGTCCACAATAGCACCTAGGATGTGGAACTTATCTGGGCGGCCGCTGCCGGCGAGGAGGGAGGCCAGACTCTCCATGAAACCGACATTCTCAAAACTCTTAGCAAATTCTGGGGTGGCAAGTACGACGGCGGCGTCGTGGCCGGAAGAATTTGCTGACAGAGACTTGGAGGCAATGTCGTCCATCATCGATGAAATAGCATCCTAAAATATTGAACATGTAGAATAAGTAATTTGCCTGCAGGTCATTGATCAATTATGTTCGACTTTTCGGTACTCACTCTAGAGGTGTTTGTAATTGCATAGGTAAACTGCATTTGATCTGTTCTCGTTTCACTTGAGAATAGGCGCTTGGCTAGGGGGCGCCGCGCCAGCCATAACGCGCTGCGCCCACGAATTATCCCATACATTCCTTGATGACCTAGTGTCACAGCCTCGAAGAACTCTTGTTCGAATCCGGCTGTTGGTCCAATGTCACAGGAAACGAAGAGAGCCGTAGTTCCTGGTTTCTGTAGCTAGAGACGTTGATGTGGCGCAGACCTGTGGCGCAAGCTCTAGCCACCAAAAAAATGCCCCTCCCCTCATCCCACCTCAGCTCATGTGGTGACTCAAATTTGTAACCGAAACAGCGATTTCGCAACAAGCAGGCTTACTGTTGAGTCAGACGCAAGCTCGCCTGAGTTATTTTGAAATCACATTCTGAAGCCCATTTTTTGTAGGGCTTCAACATAATTCTTCAGGACGACGTTTAGACTCGCTGTTCGAGCACTTCGTGTGCGATCGGTTTCCCCACGACGACCCTTGACTACCACACGTGCAATCATGGCTGCCAACGCTGGGCACCCTAACATTGGTATGCTTGGCTCTTTGGAACCTATTTGGAGTCTGCTAAGCGTCCATTGTTGCAGCTGAGGGCGCTTCTGTCCCAGCGCAAGCCTCATCTGCTAAAGCGCCGGGTAGCGAGGCCCCGAAAGTCAAGACTGAGAAAGAGTGTAAGTCAGAATCTTTAGGTGAGGATCACATGTTGCTGATATCACTATAGTAGAAAAGGAACGCCAAAAGGCCGAAAAAGCTGCCAAGCTCGAAGCGAAAAAGGCCAAGGCTGCTCTCCAAGCCGCCAATGCTGCTGCTAACAAGGAGAAGAAGGCCAAGAAGGAAAAGGCTGATGAACCCGAGGTCCCTCCTTACGTCGAAGATACACCACCCGGCGAGAAGAAGCGCATTCGATCATTCGAGGACCCGAACTTCAAGGCTTACGATCCCATTGCCGTCGAGTCGGCGTGGTATACCTGGTGGGAGAAGGAGGGCTTCTTCAAGCCCGAATTCAAGCCTAATGGCGATGTCAAGGACGAGGGAAGCTTCGTCATTGTCCACCCTCCGCCCAATGTTACTGGTGCCTTGCACATGGGCCACGCTCTAACCGACTCCCTACAAGACATGATGATCCGCTGGAGCCGCATGCACGGCAAGACGACACTGTGGCTTCCCGGCACTGACCACGCCGGCATCTCTACGCAATCCGTCGTCGAGAACATGCTGTGGCGCCGCAAGCAACAGACCCGCCATGATCTAGGCAGAGAAAAGTTCATCGAGACTGTTTGGGAGTGGAAGGAGGACTACCACCAGCGCATCAACAAGGCCCTCACCCGACTGGGTGGCTCCTTCGACTGGTCTCGCGAGGCCTTTACCATGGACGAGAGCCGCTATGCCGCCGTTGTGGAAAATTTTGTCCGTCTTCATGAAGAGGGCATCATTTACAGAGCCAACAGACTTGTCAACTGGTGCACAAGGCTCAACACTGCTCTTTCCAACCTCGAGGTCGACAATAAGGAGCTGACTGGCCGCACTCTGCTGGAAGTTCCCGGCTACGACAAGAAGGTTGAGTTCGGTGTCATTGTCCACTTCAAATACCCTATTGAGGGCTCCGACGAAACTGTTGAGGTTGCTACTACCCGTATTGAGACTATGCTTGGTGATACTGGCATCGCTGTCCACCCTAAAGACACTCGCTACACTCACCTCATCGGAAAGAACGCTGTCCACCCATTTATTCCCAATCGCAAGCTACCCATTGTCGCCGACGAATATGTCGAGATGGATTTCGGTACTGGTGCCGTGAAGCTCACTCCCGCTCACGACGCCAACGACTTCGCCCTCGGACAGCGCCATAAGCTCGAGTTTATCAACATTCTCAACGACGACGGCCTGATGAACGAGAATGCTGGACCTTTCAAAGGACAGAAGCGCTTCGACGTTCGCTATAGCATACAAGAGGCCCTCAAGGAAAAGGGTCTGTACGTCGACAAAAAGGACAACGCTATGAAGGTACCCATGTGCAGCAAGTCCAAGGATGTCATTGAGCCTCTCATGAAGCCCCAGTGGTGGGTCAAGATGAAGGATATGGCTTCCGAGGCTGCGAAGGTCGTCAAGAATGGGGAGATCAAGATCCGTCCAGAGAGCGCTGAGAAGGCCTACTACCGCTGGATGGAAGACATCCAAGACTGGTGCATCTCCAGACAGCTTTGGTGGGGGCACAGATGCCCCGTCTACTTTGCCAAGGTTGAGGGTGGCTCTGACTTATCCGAGGAGGAGCTCTGGTTCTCTGGGCGCACCAAGCAGGAGGCTGAGGCAAAGGCCAGCGCCAAGCTCCCTGGCAAGAAGTTTACTCTCGAGCAGGACGAGGATGTTTTGGACAGTAAGTTTCTTTTCCTCGTTTTCTTCGTTGATGTTTAAGTGTAGTCGCTAACTTCGAAATAGCCTGGTTTTCCTCTGGGCTGTGGCCTTTTAGCACTCTGGGCTGGCCTAAGAAGACACACGACCTCGAGAAGCTCTTCCCCACCACCATTCTCGAGACTGGCTGGGATATCCTGTTCTTCTGGATTGCTCGCATGATTATGCTGAGCTTGAAACTGACCGGCAAGATTCCCTTTGAGGAAGTCTTCTGCCACAGTCTAGTCCGCGATTCTGAGGGCCGCAAAATGTCCAAGAGTCTGGGCAATGTCATTGATCCTCTCGATGTAATTTCCGGCATCCCTCTGCAGACGTTGCACGACAAGCTTGCGCTTGGTAATCTACACCCGACCGAGGTTGAGAGAGCAACCAAGTATCAAAAGACGTCTTTCCCCGACGGCATTCCTCAGTGCGGCGCTGACGCCCTTCGCTTCACAATGATCAACGCCACCACCGGCGGTAGCGATATCAACTTGGAGATTCGCTCCATTTATGGGTACCGCAAGTTCTGCAACAAGATCTTCCAGGCCACCAAGTACGTCCTCGGCAGCCTTCCCGCGGATTTTGTCCCCTCGAAACACGGTGCAGTTTCCGGAAAGACTCTGGCTGAGCGCTGGATCCTGCACAAGATGAACCAGGCCGCCAAGGAGGTCAACGTCGCTATTGCGGACCGAGAGTTCTCCAAGTCGACGGCAATCGTCTACAAGTACTGGTACAGCGAGCTTTGCGACGTCTACATCGAGAATTCCAAGTCTATTATCCGCGACGGCACACCTGAGGAGCGCGACTCGGCCATCCAGACGCTCTACACAGCTCTCGAAGCCGCTCTCACCATGATTCACCCATTCATGCCCTTTATCAGCGAGGAAATGTGGCAGAGAATGCCGCGCCGCCCCAGCGACGAGACGAAGTCCATTATGATTGCCAAGTACCCCGTCTACAGCGCGACACTGGACGACCCGCAGTCAGAGACTGCCTATGAGCTCGTTTTAGACTGCGTCAAGGCCGCGCGCTCGCTGACGTCCGAATATGCCATCAAGGAGAACGCAGATGGTAAGTCTCGTTGATCAAGCCGCTATATCCCGGCCCAAGCTAACGTCGCTCCCTAGTCATCATTCAAACCTTCACCGACGCCGCCGAGGAGACGTGCACCAAGGAGCTCCTTTCTATCACATCACTGGCAGGCAAGGCCGTCAACAAGATCAAGATGATTGGTGCCAACGCTCCCCGTCCCGCAGGCTGTGTCGCCTACCCTGTGTCGACCGCAGCGACGGTCTTTTTGCAAGTCAAGGGCCGTGTTGACATGGACGCTGAGATTGCCAAGGCCCAGAAGCGCCGCGACAAGGCCACGCAGAGTATTCAGCGCCAGGAGAAGCTCCTCGCCGACCCGGTCTACCTGCAAAAGGCCTCTGAGGCTGTTCGTGATGCTGACGAAAAGAAGCTGGCCGACGCTAAGCAGGAGCTGGCCAGCTTTGAGGCGACGATTATGCAGTTTGTGCAGCTAAAGCTGGAGTAGATCGGCTAGCGAAGAAGACAAAATTTGGAGGATTGGTCAAGTGTTATGATATCTGATTATGTCTTGAATGATGCAAATTTGATAGAAGAGACTATTTAGTTATGCTCACGAGACATGTGGTTGTTCATGTTGGCTAAAAGACTTGTTCATGAGTTTTTGTCTTTGGTACATTTCTAATTATTTTGTGCCTCTGCGTTTTGCTCCGGTGTCGGGTGAGTGTTTGTTTGTTTTGCTGCAAGTGCTGCAGCAACGCGATGTGCAGGTGGCACAGCGGGTGACGACTGACCCAAAAGACTTCCCAGACAGTTTCTTTGTCTCAAATTCAGACGGCAATCTACAAAGTTGATTGGACGCGCAATCGCATAAGCTTATGATAACCGTCCATTACGGTCAGCGCCCAGCTCTACCCAGCGTCTTGGAAGCTGGGAGCCAGGCACACAGGCCCTTCTTCCCAGCTGTTTGCTTTGTTTTCTCTCTGGTTCTTCCTCCATTCATCTCTTCTCTTTTCCCGCGCAGCTCAAACTCTCTCTTTTTCTTTTTCGTCAGTCTACATTTCCATCTGCATAGTCTTTTTGCCAGCATTCTTTATGTTTGATTTCTTACTCGGCATTTGCAATTCAGCTGAAAGCGATCGAACTACATTCATCTACATTGCGACGCCCAATAATTGCCCTACCTGGGTAAGTACCTTCCACGAACAAGGTTAGCCCCTCCAGTGCCGCCCCTCCCTCCCCCTCCCCTCCTCTTGGCCGACCATCTGACCGTGTTGTGGCAAATTTTCAGCGGGTGGTTTGGCCTGTCGCAGCAACAACCAGCCCTGCAACCCTGCTAACAGAAATTTCCAGGTAGCAGCTAATCGCACTGGGCGCGGCGCGCTGGAACGTTAAAACGTTTGCAGCCACTGGCTGGATCAATTCAAGCGACTCAAGCCATCCTCGGCGGGGAGCGGTTTTGAACCATCCTGCTAGCACCCAGTTCTTCTTTGGGGGGGCCAAAACCGCCCAAGCAGGGGCATCATGGCCACAACAACTACTTCAACTTCCACCACCCTCCGTACCCGCAAGTCTTTTGGTCGCGCCCTGCGCAGGCCTGTCGCCCCCTCCGCTTCTACACCCAATCTCAACGCCGCATTTACCGCTCATTCCAGGCTGTCGGCTGCCTTGTCGCGTAAGACGTCGCTTGCCGCTCTCACATCCAGCACCCTCGCCAGTATTCCCGATGTCAGCGAAACTTACGCGATAGACTCTGTCCTTGCCGTTTCCAACATGATCCCCGCCACCCCCGGCAGGCCTGCCGCCCCTGACGATGTCGTCGTCGGCGACAGCGTCGAGGTTCCTGGCGGCCTTAAGGGCACCGTTCGCTTCGTCGGTTCCGTCCAAGGGAAAAAGGGCCAATTCGTCGGCATCGAGCTAAACCGCGAGTTTGCCGCCCGAGGTAAAAACAATGGCGATGTCGATGGGTGAGTATGCCCCAGCCTGACTTCTACTGCCGCTGGCTAACATGGCGGCTCTGCAGCATCTCCTACTTCAACACCAGTGTGCCAGGCTCTGGCATCTTCGTTCCTGTCACAAAAGCTATCCGTCGCGAGTCACCTAGCCATGCAGCCTATCCAGCGACGCCAACCCCGGCTGCTAATCGAAGAGCTCCTGGCCAAAGCTCGGGGTATACACCGCCAATGCCGGCCTTGCCTAAACTGAGCGCCTCAATTGGGCCAGGTGCCAGAGCGGCCAGCCCGCAGCTCAAGCAGCGCCCTCGAATGTCCCTTCCGCGTCCCGAATCGCCCCTCCGTCGAACTCAAATGACTCCGGGACCACGACCCTCTATACCGTCGCCGTCTAAAGCCGCAAGACAAGCCAGCCCGGTCAATCGGTTTGCTCAGAGTGTCAGGGGTACTGCCGGCGATCCAAACAAAAAATTCGGCCGGCTCGATCAGAGCCTAAACCTGGGCCAGCGCAGCACTTCTGCTATGGGTGGGGGCGGCGTCATGGATTTTGACGATGATCCCGCGCCTCTACCACAAAAGCCTGCGAGACAGCCCGCACTTTCCACCTCGGCCTCGGCCTTTAATCTGCGACGACCGGGTTCACGCGCAAACAATGCCAACGAAGAGGAGATTGAGCGTCTAAAAGCTCAGCTGGAAGATCGGGACAATCAGTTGAAAGATCAAGCTAGTACCCTTGCTGAAATGGAGAGCAGCTTGGTTGAGCTGCAGTCCCTAATCGATCAATCAGACGGTCCCAGGCACGCGAGGAATAGTATGGACGACAAAGATTCTGCACAGCTGCGCCTTATGCTGCGCGAAAAGACGGAAAAGATTGCTATGCTCACGGCAGAGTTCGATTCTCACCGCGCCGATTTTCGAAGCACAATTGATACTTTGGAACTTGCCAGCACAGAGACGGAGCGTGTGTATGAAAAGCGCATGGAGGAGCTTATGGCCGACATCCGAGAGCTCGAGTCAAGGAACGTCGATGTTGATTCTGTTGCCAATCAACTTAAGCAACTAGAAGAACTAGTACAAGAATTGGAGGAGGGACTCGAAGATGCGCGCCGTGGAGAAGCCGAAGCCAGAGGCGAGGCTGAGTTTTTACGAGGAGAAGTTGAGAGGACCAGATCCGAACTGCGTCGCCAACGGAGCAAATCCGGCTCGCCAGATGGGCAGACTGTTAGCGGCGGCGATTTTGCCATGACGAAAGAGCTGGAACAAAAGGAGGATGAGATTCGCGGTCTCAAGGCTATCATCCATTCGCTCAGCCGCGATTCAGTTCCTGGCCAAGATGAGCACAATTCAACGCTGCGCGATTCGTTCAATGTCCAGGCCACTTCTACAACCAATGGAGCGGGTCACGATCATTTGGAGCGTCGCGTTGCAGAACTACAGGCGCTCCTTGACAAGAAGGATAGCAGGCAAGAGGAGCTGGAGCAAGAAATCGAGCATCTACGCCGCGGTATCGGTGCAGATCAAGGGCAAAACAGCTCCCAAAACCACAGATCTTCTCTAAGAGACTCTCGCGATACTGTCATTCCAGTACGCGCGGAGCCACGTTCTCCCGAAACCACATCGCACCGTCGGGGGAACACGTTGGATACCATGCCCGAGAGTGACTCCTTTTCCTCTGAGACTAGCGCTCTGTGGTGCGAAATTTGCGAGACGAGCGGTCATGACATTCTCACATGCACAAACATGTTTGGTCCGGAAGGCGTCAAGAGCGCCTCTCATGCAGACACAGGCGCCGACACGGCCGGGAATCGTGAAACGCTCAAGGCACCGCCCGCTTTGCAGTATACCAACGGTCGCGACGAT